TATACGAGGGGGGGGGGGATGAACTCAAAGAGGGGAGAGGGCAGATCATGGAGGGCAGCACGGTGGTCCCTGCTGGGGGGAGGGGTTGCGTGTGAACCCAACAGCAGGCAAGTGACTTGCAGGTCCGTACTTCGTTGATCCCAGCATCCTGCTGCGGCTCGACGTGCTGTGCGAGGGGACTGCGTGGCTGAATGCGCTCCACTCTCCAAAACCCAGACCCTTTGCTCATGCAACCCCCACCCCGATCCCTCACAACACAGGCGGCGATAGGAGCCGAGGCCTTCCAGGGGCTGGTGGCGGCGCAGAAACCCAAGGCACAGGCCACGCTGCAGGCGGCGCTAGCACAGTAAACGCCCGGCGTGGCCCATCCCCAATACGACTCAGCTCCCTTGCTCTTGCGTCCACGGGCCGACGCGCCCATTTGAGTGCCTTTCTGTTCACAGCGCACTGCAAGGGATTGCATGTTTGGGCCGGGCAGGCAGGGGAGACCAGCTGCAAAGAGGGCGGATCACTAGCCGCAGGGGATGGCCGAGCTTGTGCAGCGTCACGCCCCCGAACCGAAGAGGTTGCCAAAGAGCTGGGAGGCCAGGACCAGGGACCCACTTTCTCGAGAGGCCATGAAGTTGACCAGCTTCTCCTGCACATTGTACCGAATTTTCCGACCCTTGGAGGCCCGTCGGTCCACGATCTTGCGCTTCTTGGTGCCCTGCATGATGGGTGGATCCAGGGAAGGAATTATGAGCAACTGCACAAGCTGCAACGGGCATGCTCGAAAGCTGATAATGAGGCAAGGAATGGACCATGCAACACAACATCAGCGCACCGCGTATTTCTGGGAGGTCAGTGCGGGGGCCTCGGTGCTCTCCAGGAACTCCTTGAGGAGCGTGGAGTAGAAGTCAGTGTCGTCGAAGGTCTCGGGATCGCGATCTCCGGGCTTACTCCCAGCTGCCTGCTGTATTGTGTTGATCTTGAAACCGAGATTAAATTCCGGTGACGGCGTAGATTGCATGAACCGCGTCTAAGGCGTCCGAGGCGAACATGGAGCGACCCATAAGCGTCGAATCGCACCCCGTACGCCCGCGATTTACAAGTCTGCGACAGCTGGCCCCACACATCATATATTTTCCAAATTTCTTATCGGCAGGTGAAAGACCCTGCACCCCCCACCACCCTCCACCACGCTGCCACTCCCCACCTCGACAAACCATAACCTCCACAGCCACACCCATGACATTCTGACAAATCACCTGAGGCTGGATCGGTTGGCCTATGACGCCAGTTTGGTCACGCTCCAGTTGCGTTCGCTCGATCACCGCATCTGATGCCTGCATGAGCTGTGCCACCTGGTGCGACACAGGCTGATTCAGGGCCTTCAAGTTCCCTGCGAGGGTTGGTGTATCCAGAGATAGAGTCATAGTGCAGAATATCGGGATGTAGTCAGCACAGCAGTCCCCAGCTTGGGTGTCCTCCGAGCGACCCTATACTGGTGTAGCGATCTGCTCAAGAGCCAGCAGACGACCCTATACAAAGCCCTGCGCACCTCCTGCCACCAGCGTCTTCCTCTGCCAGCGGTCGATGGAGGCGTCCTGGAAGGGCTTGGTGGCCTCGTACCATGCATCTGCGCAGCGCCAGAGTGCCGTGCTGTCCCGCCGTTCCTTCCGCTGCCACTTGGGCGGGGTGGCGGCTATGGCAGGGTTCCTTTCGTGCAGGCCCTTGATAACCTCCAGCAAGTCGCTGATCGCCCCAGCAGACTCCGCCCGGATGTCTTCGACGGCAGCTGCCACACCTTGATCGCTGGCCTGGATGGTCTTTGCCAGGACGCCCTGCGAAATGGATGCGCCAACAGGGGATGTGGGAGCAATTGGGACATCGTGATGTGGATGGCACACGAGCCGCATACCTTTCCAACTGGAGTCCATGTGGCTCGGCTGGAACCCCCCGTCTGCAACTCTATCTTCTTGCGCCTGCCCTGCTCAGCAATCCTCCCGATCCTCACCTGGGGAAACCGCACTGCGGACTTGAGGAGGCGCTGCAGGAGGATCCGAATCTCCAGTCCAGCCTCCCACAGCCGTCGCTGGGACTGCACCGCCAGCGCCTTGCGCTTCTCGCGGTTTGCTCGCTCGGCAAGGTATGCGGCGGTGTCGCCGTCGCCTGCCTGCAGGTCCTCCACCGCCCGTTCAAGGGCTGCCACCTCGTCATCATCTGCAGCACGAGCAGTCGGGGGGGTGTTGGGTCATGCAATTCCCAAAACCATCAAAATCCATAGGTTTGCATAACCCATCACATATTCTCCCTGCAGTTGAAGCCCACCTCACACATACAATTGTTGACAACCCGGCATACCCAATATCACCCCTGCAACCTTGCACAACTCCATGCCTTCCTGCTCACCTTGGGGTTCAGTATGGTGTCCGGGCCTTTCGTCTTCACTCTGGGAGGTGCTGGCATCGGATCCCCTGGGAGATTCTGCTGGCTCTTCAGCGGCGTCGTGTGTGAAGTCATCGCTTTCAAAAGCTGTGGCCCGGGAGGAGCGTACGCCGGCATACGCCGGGTCATCCAGGGCGATGTCTGGCAAGATGCGGGCACGGCCCATGCCCACCACCCCAGCCAAGTCCTCATCGCTCTCTTCCAGGGTGGGTCCACCATCCAGGACGACATGCGCATCGGGCTCAGCCTCTGCATTGCAGCAACATGGTGCGGAGGGTTGTCTGACTTTAGCACTTCCGGCGTGACAGAGCTGTCGAAGGCTGGCGCAGCGTGACCAGAAACTCCCCGGCGACGGTATCCTTGTAACTCTCGACATACCCTGCACTGCGACGGGCTCCAACAGGTCAGCGATGTCTTCGGCCAGGCTCCTACGCCCAGAGGCCATGGTAATCGGTCGCTTGGAGGAATCTATCCCCGCTAATCACCCTGCTGATGCCTGTCCAGTGCTCCGTAGAGGAGTTCAGCCGACCAAACACTCTCAAGTACAAACACAGTGCCCTCGGGACGTGCAGTATGCAATTGGGCGTATCCCGCTTCGTTATAAGATATGCCTATGGAATGCATGCGCAGGCGAGTTCGTCGACAAGGCTGAAGTTGGACAGTGCATGCGGGCTCCCGCGCGCAGAAACACCATCGAGCGCGCGCTATGGTGTAGGCGTCCATCAGGCGAGCAGGTGCAAGGCTACTACATCCACCGCGAGGCCACAATCCTCAAGGACATGTATAGTATGGAGTCGAAAGAGCGATTGAAAGAGGACGTACCACAGACCAGCCCGATGCCACCGGGCCCCTCTTCGCAGCTACCTCATGAGGCGTCACCTGCTGGCCATGAAACATCAGCCACCCCATGCGTGCCACCTGCCGATGCTCAGGACCTTGAAATCGTCAAATCTCAAGTCCTGATCCTTCTGGATCAATGTAATCGAGCACCGGATGTCCTCGCCCTCCTGTCCAACCTGCCGGGCCAGGCCGTGGCAGCCAGACCGGACCTCATCTGCCTCAGGGGCCGGGCCCTTCTGGCGTTGGGCAACAAACCTCTGGTGCGTCCTTGCGTTGATCACTGGCTGATCCAGAGCCACTCTGGTACTCTTCTATATTGCTCTGGGGAAAGGCCGGGCCACAGGGACACTCGTCATGCCAGGCTCTGCAGCTGTCGCCCACCAGCACCCCTCACACCCCCCACCCCCCACCCGGCCCTGCCCAGGCGCTCGCAGCGTACCTGGAGGCCTTGCTGTCCCACCCCACGAATATCGACGCCCTCCTCGGCTGCGCCTCGGTGTACACAGCCTCGGCCCTCCTCCTGGAGGCGCTCAAGTGCCTGGAGCGTGCCAGGGGGCTGGCCCCCACCCGCACCGATGTGTTACAGGCCCTTGCCAATGTGCTGACGGACCTGGGCACCGCCGAGAAGCTGACCAGGGTGCCCGGCTGGAGGGGCCGGTACGAGGCCGCGCTGGAGGCCTGCCCCTCCCACGCCCAGGCCCACTACAACCTGGGTGTAGCGGCAGGGGAGGAGGGGCGGGCGGAGGAGGCGGCCGCGCACTACCGCGACGCCGTCCGCGCCGCGCCCGCCTGCGCCGAGGCCTGGTGCAACCTGGGCGTCGTGCTGCGCAGCCAGGCGAGCTGCTGTGGTCTGTGTTGTTATCGGTCTTTGTATGTGGGGTTTAATCCTTGTTCTCCTGCTGAGGTGCGGGTGCACTCCTCGTCCCGGGGCCAGACAGGGACGACGCATGCGACGCAGGGCCCCGCGTGCTGCCTGCAGTACTGCTGAGGGTATCCCACACCAAACCTACTTCACAGGGCAAGCTGGAGGAGGCGGTGGCCGCCTACGAGCACGCCCTGGCCGTTGCGCCGAATCACGACATCGTGCGCGTCAACCTGGCGGTGGCGCTGTCCGAGCGCGGCTCCGTCGTGAAGCTGCAGGGTGAGCGGGGAGATCTGCTCGGCTGGGTGCATGCAGGTTCTGTGAGGCCAGGCGGAGCCCACCCTGGATGGCGGCTGGGGCCTGCCTGGTTAGCTGTGGGCGGGGTGGGTTGGTGCCAGCTCGCTGAGCACGCGCCACCATACCTTGGCTATTTGGCGCTGACATTGGCGCCACAAATCCCACGTTCCCGCCCCCCCCTTTCCTCCCACCCAGGCAAGCAGGAGGAGGCCGTGGCCCTGTACGAGCGCGCGTTGGGCCTGTATCCGCTGCACGGCGAGTCGATGTACAACCTGGGCGTTGCGGCCATGGAGGCCGGGCAGATGCACCGCGCCATCTTCATGTACGAGTCGGCGGTGCGGGTGCTCCCTGCCTGCGCCGAGGCACACAATAACCTGGGAGTGGTGTACAGGTGGGCGATGGGTGAGGAGGATTGCCCAGCGGAGAGAGAGGGGAAAGGATGCTCTGTCAGGAGAAATCAAGGCCGCGCAGTTACCCTACAGGGCCAGGAGTGTCCTGGGGGCCTGGTGTCCTACGATACTCAGTCCACATGGGGTAGGCAACTTGATCATTGCAGGCCGTACCTTTAAATCTCTCCCTTGCGTGCAGGGAGATGGGCAACATCGACCGGGCGGTGACCTGCTACCTGGCGGCCCTGAATGCCCGGCCCAACTTCCCTCAGGGTTTGAACAACCTTGCGGTGGTGTACACGGCCCGGGGACAATCTGAGGAGGCCCTGCAGCTCCTGCTCTCCGCCCTGAGCCTGGCGCCGGAGTATGCAGAGGCCTGGAACAACATAGGAGTGCTGCAGGTGGCCTCATAGTGCCGGGTGCTGAGGAAGGGGGTATTACTCGAGTCTTAAGATGCTGTTTGGGGCATTGCTGGAGGGTCATCAGGAAGTGACGTCTACCTGAGTCTGGCCCATGGCAGTCAGAGTGCCACATACCCCACTCTCACACTCTCCTCCATGTAGAGGGACGTGGGCGCATCTGTGGAGGCCATTTCATCATACGAGAAATGCCTGGCCCTGGATCCTGACAACCGGAACGCGGGTGAAGGGGGGCTGGGAGTGGAGGAGGGGCAGTGGGAATGGGCAGGTGATACCCCCAATCTGCAGCTGGGCAATCAAGCCTGCAGGTCTCTTCCCAGGGATGAGACAGAACTGCATCAGGCATGCTGGAGCTGTCGTGATGGCACCAGAACTCTGTCACAGTGACCCCTCCTCCAACCCCCACGTGCACCACTGCAGGCCAAAATCGGCTGCTGTCGCTCAACTATGTCTATCACGGTGAGACGGACCTCATCTGCGATGCCCACCGAGATTGGGGTCAGAGCTTCCAGAGGCTGCACCCACGCCTGCCGCCTCGGGTGAGGGACAAGGCCGATGAAGCTTCCGGACGCAAACTTCGGGTGAGCAGGCAGTGCCACTGTGTCTGTCGCCTGGTGTGCTGCTTTGAGGGGATGCAGGGATGCACTGGAATGTCTCTGGCTGCCTTGAAGACTGATAAGCCCTGGGGGGGGACGCATGGCTCTGTACAAGTCCCCCTCCCTGTGCTCAAGCTGGGAGTCAGGGTAGGATACAGTAGAACATCCCTGAGCGTTTCCACCATGGTCTCCTCCAGTTCAAGAATCCCCCCCCTCCTTCCTCCGTTGGAGCGCAGGTCGGCTACATCTCACCGGACCTCTTCACACACAGCGTCTCCTACTTTGCCGAGGCTCCGCTCACACACCACAACACCGCCACTGTGGAGCTCTTTGTATACAACTGCTGCCTTAAGGTGCAGTGCCTGCTGTGAAAGGCCGCCGAGCGCTCCAGCCACCTGAGATTCCCTTGCTCATGACAGCATGGCGGCAGGGTTTTCATGCATCGCCATGTCCTGGGTCTGACCTCCTACAACCGTGTCCTTCCACCCCCCTCCCAGGGTGACGCCAAGACGGAGCGTCTCAAAGGGGTGGTGACGTCGAAGCCAGGGGTTTGGAGGGACGTCGCGACCCTCAGTGAGGCAGCCTTGGCGAAACAAATACGTGAAGACAAGGTAGCCACCCCCTGTGTTTGTGTGTGTTGGGAGGAGAGGTGGGTTCTGATGTTGCCGATAGAACCGTGATCTGTAGGACGATGCCGCGAACCTGCGGAGTTTGAAGGGTAAAATGCTAATCAAACTCGGCCATGCCCCCATCATCACAAACCTACAGATTGACGTGCTGGTGGAGCTGACGGGGCACACTGCAAACAACCGTCTGGGGACCATGGCTGCCTGTCCGTCCCCCGTGCAAGTGACATGGATTGGCTATCCCAACAGCACTGGGCTGGAGGCAGTGCAGTATAGGATCACTGACAGCATCTGCGACCCCCTAGACACAACCCAGCGTTTCACAGGTTGGTTTTGGTGCTTTCTGGGTGGAGTGTGCTTGCAGTGACTGGACAGTGTGTTGCTCGTGACCTCGAAAGAGGGGCCTCTGAAGACTCGTGCACTTGCCAGTCATGGACCTTGCACACCTGTCTGGCATGCACACACTGCAGTGTCCTCGCCCTTGTCCCAGCCTGATGCTATTGTTGGCTGGGTGCTGACCCACCAAGAACCGCGAGCCCTGCACCCTGCCGCTCTGGCGACGCACACACGTCAGTGTCCTTTGCCAGAATGCGGTGAGCACCCATCGACGCAGGCCCCCCACCCCATGGCTCCCACTGCAGAGCAACTGGTCCGCCTGCCTGGCTGCTTCCTGTGTTACACACCGGCCCAGGACCTGCCGGACGTGGCGCCCTGCCCCGCGGCCTCCCGGGGTTACGTCACCTTTGGCTCCTTCAACGCCCTGGCCAAGCAGATGCCGGGGGTGCTGCAGACCTGGGCCCGCATCCTGCGCGCCGTGCCCTCAGCGCGTCTTGTCCTGAAGAACAAGCCCTTTGCCTGCGACCCCGTGCGCCAACGATACTGGCAGCTGTTCGAGGGGCTGGGTGTCAAGCGCCACAGGGTGCGCGGGTTGTCGTGGAGGCGGGGGGGGGGGACACTTGAACGCGCACGGGCTTGGAGTGCCCTTCAGGAACTGGGCAGTCAGACTCCCTCCCCTCATCACCCCCTGCCGCGTTCTGCGTGTGCAGGTGGACCTCCTTCCCCTGGCCATCAGCAACCGGGATCACATGGCGCAGTACGGCCTCGTGGACATCGGCCTGGACCCCTGGCCCTATGCTGGGACCACCACCACCGCCGAGGCCCTCGTCATGGGTGAGGCGGTTGGGGATCCCGGTCCAGCACTGGCTTGCGACAATGAAACACTGGGTCTGAGGATCCTGCAGCACCCCTTCCCTTCACCGCTTCCTCCTCCCCAACCCTTCCACCCCACCCAGGCGTGCCCTGCCTGACCCTGGCCGGCAGGTGCCACGCGCACAACGTGGGCGTCAGCCTGCTCACCGCCGTCGGCCTCCAGGAGGAATGGGTGGCGCACGACCTAGACGCCTATGTCGCAGCGGCCGTGCGGGCCGCCGGCGACGTGCCCGGGCTGTGCGAGCTGCGCTCTGGGCTGCGCGGCCGCGTGCTCGGGTCCGCGTTGTGTGACGGCCCGGCCTTCGTCCAGGGGCTGGAGGTGGTCTTCCGCGGGCTGTGGCAGGCATGGTCGGTAGAGGGTAAACGCACCTCCTGAAATGAGGAGACTCCCAGCGGCACAGCCGCACTGGAGGACAGGCGCCCAGCCTGGTTTCCACTGGGCAGCATGACGCAAAGTTGATCATCTATTTATTCCGAGTACATTCTTCACCCTCTGCCCTACATTTACAGTGACCTTACTTATATATTCAGATTTGGATGGAGTGTCTGGCGTGCCAGTGCTGCCATGCAAAGGCCATTGCCGCCACGTCCCTCCAGGCCTCATGCTTCAGGCAACGGTTTCTCCCTGCAACACAGCAATGTTCTCATCGAAGAAGGTCTTCAGGGTGTCGTAGTCCCGAGCACCTGGATGGTAGTGTGCGAGAACATGTGGATGCGTGTGCTGGCGCCAAGGGGGGAGCAGCCCTGCACATGCAGGGTCAAGGGCGGCACCGCACCCTACTCACTCCTGAAGCTCTCCTTCTGCTCGCCATTGAAGTAGATCTTCAAGCTTGGGAAGCCAGGTACCTGAGGGGCGAGTCCAGTGTGTATCGGCATCGGGAAGGAGACTCCAGCGCACGCTCCCACGACATGAACACCGCAAATCTGCTGCGCACATCACCAGTGATCAACTTGCCTTGGCCTTGTTGCAGACAGCCTTGTCCTTGGTGCAGTCCACAGCAACCACAGCTGCCTCTTCACTGCCTTCATAGGCCTTGGCGAGCTTCTCCCAGGTGGGCGCCAGCTTCTTGCAGTGTCCACACCTGCAGAGGGGCAACCATATGAGAAGCCTCGGGAGCAAGTCTCATTTCGGGCAGAAGTATACCCCAGCAGTTGCCACGAGCGACACACACATCCACATATAGGCAATACCTTACCAGGGAGCGTAGAACCTGCGGAGCCATGAGGGAACGGGTTATGAAGAGCCTTACGGAGATAACAGTGACAAATCTTCTGTCCGACACCGCGTTCAAGTAGCAGCCTGGAGCGTGTGACATCTCGATGCTGGCATTCACTCACTTGACGAAGTACACCTTTCCATCCGATGTCACTTCATCAAAGTCTGTGCTGGTCAGATGCCTGACGCTGCTGCCCTTTGCTGCGAGCGCAACCCCGATCAGTGCGAGGATGATGAGGCTGCGCGACGCGAGTGCCATTGTGAAAAGTCCTTTTTAGCCTGAGAGATGCTGGAAAATGACTGCAATAATGATTTGGGAGTTCTGTCTAGAAGGCGACCGAACCAGCATCTGCCGTCCTCCAGGCGATCTCCGAGGCGGGAACGCAAACTGACATTGAAGAAGATCACAACGCAGGTTCGCAAAGTGATCCCGCACCGCGCATTTCAACATGCCCTGACTTCTTCATTGATAAAATTTGATGATGACCCTGCGGAGGGGGAACCTGATGGGGGCCAGGGGAGGCTCGCAGGGCTGCTGCCTGAGCCCCAGACTGTTGTCAATTCTGATCAGCCTAGTCGTCATTGCGACAGTGCTCTGGGCCAGCGAAATGGTCGTGCAGGCCAGGCTCAGCCGCATGGTGTCCGACGTGGAGAGCATGGGGGCCGCTGATGCGGAGCTGGCCAGAATCCTCGTGGCTGAGAACAACCAGGGTGATCTGGGAGCACATTCGATGTCTCACTCCCAGGCGGGTGCTACCTACTTCAAAAGGCCCCCGGTGGATACCTTCGTGACCGTGGATGGCGTGCTGGCACGCAAGTGCCCAGAAGCGGCTACTGCTGGTCCATTACCCCTGGCCAGGGCTGCGTCCACCCTGGTTTTCTATGTGTACAACGCCGTGGATGAGGAGCAGATGGGCAACTTTGACTTCTTCCTCAAGTTCGGCCTGTCCGCCAATGACACCGTCACGTACCGCATCATCATCACGAGTGGGGGTGCGGTGAAGCCCCCCCTGGCCATGCCAGAGCTACCCCCCAACGCCAAGTACATCAGCACCACGGCATGCACCGGCACCTGGGGAGCCCTCGGCGCAATCGAGGAGCAGGTGGATGCCACCAAGTTCCCATTCGTGGTGGTGGTCGACTCCAGCGTGCGCGGCCCCTTCCTCCCGCCCTATGCCGCCGGCGTCATGCACTGGACGGAGGCCTTCACCTCCCGCCTCACGAAGAGCGTGAAGATGGTGGGCTCGGCCATCAGCTGCGAGGGGGCGCCGCGCGCCGGGCATGCGGCACTGGAGTGGCGCCGCAACCCCTATGTGCTGCCATACGCCTGGGCGGCAGACGCGGTGCGCGTTCGTGACCTGCTTGTTTTGGGTGTTTGCCTTTCCGAACCTGTTGGGAGGGTGCAGGGTTTAGAATGGGCATGCTGCCACCATATGTTTGAGTATGCACCGTGCTGGCATTCCTGATTGGCAACCGTGTGGCCTGTCTCTCTTCATCCGCAACAACCCTGCCCAAGTCACTGCGCCCATAGGATGGGTGGGCTGTGCTGGCGGCCGACCCCAACGTCTTCCGGTGCTTTCAGAGCCCCTGGGACGCGCGGTACTACTCTGATGTCGGGGCCGGTCTGGCCATGCTCCGCGCAGGGTACAACCTGGACTCGCTGCTGATGCGATACCAGGGTGTGGACTGGTGGGCGCTGAATAACTGGGACTGCAATGGGAGGTGAGGTTTTGGGCGGTCGTGGCAGGGAAGCGAATCTTTTGAAGAGCAGCGTGCTGTATGCTTTGGTTTGAGGTTTTCCAACCGGCCTACCACCTGTACACCCTGTCTGGCTGGGCCATGTGTCATGTGTCTCTGGCCGCTGGGCAACCGCAGCCTCATGGTGAGGCTACCCTACACTGAACTGCTGCCTGGACCTTTGTGGTGCTCTATTTCTTACGCTTATCACAGGCTTGGCCTCTAGTTGATGTCTCAGGCCTCCAAGGGGCCACAGCAGGGAGGCTTGTCTGTTTCTCCCTCTCCTGGCTCAGGCACATGCTTCCCTCCCAGGCTCCTGCTGCACCACTCCACTGCAGGGTCCGACCAGACGGGGAGATGCAGTACGACGGGGCGTCCATCACGCCGTATGAGACCATGTTTGTGCCCATGGACGCTGGCAAGGTGGAGGCCAAGTGGACCTACATCCGGACGGCACTCAAGTACCAGGAGTGGATGCAAGCACAGGTAGGGAGCCCAGGCTTCTGGACGGGGGGTGGCGTGCATGGGAAGAATGAGCAAACCTGGCATCTCGTGTCCAACAGGGAGAGACGCTTTCTAAAGATGCAGGCAGTGTCAGGTCTGGGCAGGGCTATCTGCCGCCTTCTCTGCAACCCTGGTCGAGCGAGGCCCGCAAGAGCCTAACAGTCACCCCACCGTCTGCCCCCAGGCAAACAAGGCGATGGATGTGAACACCAACGCGCTGTCGGCCGACCCCTGGACCTCGCGTGCCGAGGACCTGGTGGCCATGAATGCCCGAGGGCCGGGCTGCTTCGACTTCAGATTCTACACCGAGGTGGGACAAGGAGGGTTGAGAGGGCAACACCCTGAAGCTGAGGGGCCGGGGATATTGCGCATGCTGCGATGCCGTGCTGGATTTCCCCAGCCGGTGTGCCGCAACCCCACTTTGGTCTGTGATGCCTCTTGGTAGCAGCGTCCGCCCCTCCTCCTCCCCCTGTGCCACTGGCTGACCCCACCCTGCCAGTCTCTCGGCAACGCCTCCTTAATCTCCTGTCCCACACCCCATCACCACCGCGTCTCCAGAACAACCCGGACCTGGCGGGGAAGGCAGGGTCGCCCCTGGAGCTGTGGGAGCACTGGCTGCTCCTGGGTCAGTTCCAGGGCCGCACCCACCGATTCTCCTGCCCGGTACAGATGGGCACCACGTATCGGATTGCATACCTCCGGGCGCGTGGTGGCTCCTGCTTCGACCACAACTACTACCTCCGGCACAATCCGGACCTGAGGGCCGCTGGCATGACCAGCTCAAGCGAGCTGTACGGCCACTACACCTATTTTGGGCAGTTCGAGGAGCGCGCCGTCAAGTGAGGAAACGTGGAGGTGCACTGCCGTCGCATGAATGGGTCCACGCAGGAGCCGACCAGCGTGCCATGCAGGGGACAGGGTCTGGGACAGCCAGGCCCCTCATCAACCTCTTTCCCCTCCCCTTATTCCTGTCCGCAGGTTTGTGTGCCCTGACACCTGGCACGACCTGGCCGGGGGCTACGAGACAGTCCCTGTCGGCAGCGAGGCCGAGGTGAAGGCCAGTCTGCAGGAGTTTGCGGCCGGGACGTTGGAGGCACGCAATCTGGTGCACGTGTCCAAGCACCAGGTAGAGGCACGTGGGAGGTGACATTCAAGAACTGCAGAGGGCGAGGAGCCGAGGGGATGGCTTGCCACATGGAGGGCGGCAGCAGCATCGCCCCAAGCCTGGGCCAGAGGCCCTGGGCTGTAGTCATTACCTTCTTCGAGCCATGTGCATCTGAAGACTTTGCTCTCCCTTGAGCCCTTTTACGACCCCTTATGATGCCCTCTTTCCGTATCGGTGTTGGAGTCTGCTCTCCCTGCAAGCCTGTAGCCGTCAACCGAGCTCTCAGTCGGAGGTCTGCCCTTCATCAATAGCTCGATTGGCGGCGGCAGGGCTGCTCCCACGGCTCGATTGCGGGCCTCGTCCTCCCCAAAGCTCGAATGTTCGGCCAACATCAATCCAACATTGAAATTGTACCAAGCAGCGCGTTCCAGTGACCCAAGTTAGCACCGTCTTCGGGTGACGCCGCCGAGGAGAATCCATCGGTTGACCGACGGGCCGGGGAGGGGGTGCTCCATGCACCGATGTCTTCACGCAAGTGCTGTAGGTTCTGACTCGAGCCCCGAGAACGAATGAAGAGAATAAAATCCAAGCAAATATCGGTGAAATTCTTATAGATGCGGTCCTGATCGAGTATGGAAGCCCTTCTTGCGCGCACCGCGAACAAGGTGTTTTGGCATGGCAGGGGTGCGTGAATCGTGTGCGCCAGCTCGGTGGGTTCTCGCCCCAAACTACATCTCAGTCGATTCGAACCTACTCTCTTATCAGTTGTCGTGCGCTCTTGGAATACCATTGCGGGATGCGGAGGAAGCGTTAGAGTGAGTAGGCGCAGGGGGTCCTTGCGGGGCCAGATCCGGCCATGCGTGGGCTTCCAATATTTTAGCAACCCCTTTAAAACTCCAATCCTGCAGGAATGAAAAGGAACTGATACATGACCTTGCTCAAGGCATTAGTTCGCGGGATGCTGTCGTGTGGGTGCATCAGGTGCGGCTGTGGATACATTGGCGATCGACTGATCGCTCGGGCCTCTTGAAAAACTATGTGGGGGAAATTCGTAATCAGAGCTCAATCATGGCGTCCAATATGTTCAGGTCCATCCAGAGGATGGCGAGAAGCCCCACGCCCTGCCAAGGACTTACGTGGCGGATCCGGGGGTAAGATGAAAGGACCACGGGATGCAGAGCAATCTCCGATACTCACCCATCTCAACCATGGTCGTTGTGTCTTTCACCAACCCGTTCGCAATGCACACAGACTGATACAGTGAACTTTAAAGGCCTAGTTCTCTCGAGGACAGGATGTGGCGGCACGACTGCCGACGTGTCCATGGTGGAAGTCGTTCCGGAGGTGAGCCTCCCTGGCTCGTGACATGGATGAGATCGGATGTCCGGATGGGGAGGGCCAGACCCTCCAATGAGGGCCCCACTCGGGCCCTGGCCCGGCACACAGCATCAACGTCTCCTTTATGGCATTCCCAACCTCCCCACACACCCTCCCAGATCCTTCCCCTGCTGCAACAGCTCTTTGGTGCTTTGGATCCCAGGACCAGTGACGTGTCCTCCAGGGTCGCCACAGCCGCCCCCGCCCCCGGCGCAGGCATCGACTTTGCGCCGCTGGACGAGCGCGACGCCGCGGTCCTCCGGTCCTGGGATCACAGGTCCTTTGCTCGTCTTGCGGCAGCCGAGCCCGAGCTCGCCAGCCGATGTGCTCTGCTGCTGCAGCAATGGTGCTCCGTGCTGAGCTCCGCGATCATTGATGAGGGGTCGCCTGCCAGCCGCCGCTCGACCGGCACCGGCGGCTTGGCACAGGAAGTCACAGCATGCCGCGAGAGGAGGGCGGCGCTGGCTGCGGCCGTCGAGCATGCCCAGGTCCGTGCGTGGGCAGCAAGGGTCAGGGAAAAGACGGCAGACTTACTGCCAGGTGGCCAAGTGATGAGCAGGGCGGGTGGCTTCAAGCGTTGAGGCTCCTCTTCCAGCCGCAAGCCCACCCTTTGCCTGCCCACTGCTGGCCTCGGCCGCCCTGCATGCAGAGCGACGCCTGCCGGTGCGTCGTGGGCATGGCCTCAAAGGGCGCCGCCGCGCTGGAGTGGCGTTCGCAGCAGCAGGGCCTGGGAGAGGCGCTGTCAGATGCTGAAGACTGCCTCCAGTACCTGGAGGTGGTGCAGGAGCTTATGCAGGGCCTACGGAGTGGTGAGCGTGCTGACGGTGGAATGACTGAATCCTGGGGATAAGGGGCCAGCCTTGTGCAGGATAGGTCCGCTTCAAAGTGCCAGCACACCACATTGCGAGGCTGTGGCAATGAATACCTGTGTTTAGGGTCATGCAGACGTGTGTCCTCCACAGCTCGGAGACCAGCCTTGTCCGGGCCCTCTCTGTGTGCAGGAACGCTGGAGGAGGCAATTGAGGGGCTGCCAAACCTTGTCTCTGCCCTGGCCACAGCCCAACACATCAGCCGCCACTTCAGCCAGCCAGCATCCTTTGCGACGGTCCTACAGGTGGAGGCAGACCTGAGGAGAGAGGGCATGGCCACAATGCTTGCCTCGCCTGTTCCCACTGCAGCGCCGTGGTTCTCAGCTGCCTGCCTTCCCCCGGCCACAATCACAGATGGTGGAGGAGGAGCTGGTTGCCTTCTGCCAGTCCTCCCTGGAAGCTGGCGGGCGGCTCTGGGACCGGAAGCCCTGCGACCTACTGATGGCGTGCCAGGCATGCCAGCGCCTGGAAGCGCAGTGGCAGGTGTGTTGGGGATGGGGAGTTGCTGAGGGAAGGAGTCACCCGGCGGCTGGTCTCATAAGACAAATCGGGGGAGCCTGCACAGCTGCTCACGTGGGGGGTACCTGGCGTTGTGTTCAGCCCCACCAGCGCGAGCAGTACACCCCATCGCCCTCCCCACAGGCTGCGCTGACGGAGGAGAGGCTGAACCGGTACGCCGGCAAGGGCAGCGCCCCGCCCGCCGCCGCCGCGCCCTCCCCACTCCAGGCCTTCCGCGCACGCTGCGCCGGCGTGGAGCTGATCTCGCAGCGGGCCGCCTGGATCGAACTCCTGGCCGGATTCACGGATCTGGAGGGCGTGCCGGAGCTGGCGCGGGAGGGACAGAGCGCCCTGGACCGGGTGCGTCGGCAGCCATACAACGTCCTCGACACGTCTAAGCAGCAGTTTGGCGTGGAGGTGGAGGGCTTTGCGGTGCACATGGCGCGCCTGGAAGCCCAGTTCGAGGTGACGGGGGCTTGCGGCACCCGGGTGTTGGGGTGCCCGATGCTGGAGGGGGTGGGATGCATTGCATGCTTTGGTGCGGGCACCGGCTGATCGCCCCAAACGTCAGGCAAGACGAAACACAGCCTCCCGTTCTGGGGCAAGCCAGTACCCATGCACCACTCCTCACACAGACCATCACCGAGGCAGCCTTTTCGTGCTCGCACTCCACCACGGCTGCCCTGGAGCTCCTGCAGCACCTGTCCAATAATGCCTTGCACAACAGCGAGTACTACAGCGCGAAACGGGCGGCCATCTTTCAGATATATGCAGGCAAGTACCTGTTGGAGGGAGGGATGAACTTGGCATGCTCAGAGAATGGTGCTCACCATGTAGAACCGAGGGGCAGCGAGGGTTCAGGGAGAAAAGCCAGTCTACATCCCCGCTATGTCTCCTCCCGCTTCACCCAGATGACCTCGAGGGCCTGGAGCGCCACTACGAGCGTCGCAAGATGGGGCTCGGTCGAAGCCGGAACGCGCTGCCCCTGTCGGGCGACATCGCATGGACGCGACACCTCCTGGACCAGATAGAAGGGCCCATGAAGATGTGTGTGTGCCAGTGGGCAGCTTGGCATGTAGCCGTCATGTCGAATGGTTGGGAACTCCATAGGCTCCTGCCCGCTGGCTTGGCAATAGCCCTGCAATTCCTGCCCGGGCCATGCCCGCACGATTCTGCCCACCCTGACCTCTGCACAGATTCAGCCAGGATCCTGTCCTCTTGGCGGCCAAGGAGAACCGGCGGGTCGTGCGGCGATACAACCGCCTCGCCGAGACCCTGCTCCATGCAGAAGCCGTGTGGCATGCCAGGTGGCAGGCGGCCATCCCCGCGTTGGATGGTGCCTTGGCGGCCCCACTCCTGCTCCGGGATGGGGCCAGGGTGGCAGTGAACCTCGATCGCAGCGTGCTCGAGGTCGTGCGTGAGGCCAGGCACATGCGGCGGCTGGGGCTGGAGGTGCCCAACCCCATGCCGGCCATCCTGCTGCAGCAGGACCGACTCCAGCGCAGCTACAAGAGAATCGCACTGGCACTGCAGGTGAGCCAGGCTGTCATCAAAAATTGCTTCTGTGTGTGTGCGCTGGGGAGGTGGGTAAGAGAGTCCTACATACAGGGGCCAGGTGAGGGGCCTCCAATGCCACTCAGCTGTGCACGAGCTGGCGGAGGACATGCCATCTCCAAGTGCACTGCGCTGGGGCGCTGAATGTTTCATTCCCCGCACACCTCACCCAGTAGATGTGATTCACTTCCAACTCACAGGAATGGGAGGATATCGAGCAGGCTGTTCAGCCCGTCCTGAGACCTGTGCTGGAGCCCTGCCTGGACTTCATCAAGGACAAGCTTCTGCAGGGACTGACCATCACCTGGGCTTCGACGCTTGTGGAGGGGTACCTGCACCGTTTGGAACAGGCGAGTTGGGGGATGCCCTCCGGTGGGTTGCCCATGCCCGGTCGGCATGCCGCGTTTGTGGACGCCTCACTCATGAAGGCCCCCCGACAGCTGTTGGCCCACTGCCCCCTCTGTGAGTCCTCAGGGGCTCCTGCGTCGAATGCCCTGTCCTCCACACACTTTCAGGCAGTACTCCAGGCTGGAAGTCTCATCCGGGAGCTTATGAACATCTGGGAACGCCAGATAGTAGGTGGACAGGCCACCCTGCGATCCCTCTTCTTCCTGGACGTTTCTGCTGTGAGTTGGCAGGTGCTGTTGTGATGGCCATCGGGGCGGGCTCGGTGGATTCGAGATTCTGTGCCAAGCTTGCGCCACCGCCAGCATATTATTCTTTGCTACTCCCCTCCCCGGGCATCAGGCCCCTGTAGAGGACCTTGAGCTCTTCGTGGACCGCCAGCGCCGCACCTTGGAGCAGCAGCTGTGCGTGGGAGCGGTCACCCTGCAGCGCATGCAGCACACACTGCTTCAAATAAGAGGCCAGCTGGCGGGCTGGGCGCAGACTCACCTGGGACATGAACCAGGTGCAGGCGCCATGGGCAACCTTGCTGCTGCGGCCCAGCGTCTGGTGGACGAGGTGAGTTGTTGTCGGGGGCTGATGGAGTGTAGGTAGGCGCCCTGCCCTGAAGGGGATGTGGACGCCCACATGTGGCACACTCCTCCCCCGGGCGCCATCTCACGAGCTCAACACCCGCCCCACGACCTCTTGCCCTCCCGTCCATTGCGCCTGGGGTGCAGGCCGCTCAGGCTGCATTGCATCAGACGCTGGCCGGCCTGCTGCAGCTGCTGGGCCCGGGCCCCACGCTCTCTGGACGAACCAGCACCCTGTCCGGGGCCGGCGGGCCTCTGATCAGGCTCGAGGTTCACCTCCTGCACGCGTCTGTGGCCCTCGTGCCCAGCGTTGCCACTGTCCAGAAGGAGCTCCAAGGGCTGGTGCTTGAGGTGGGTCGGGGCTGAGGTCCCATGCCCTCTGAGCTGCTGCAGTGGGAGTGGGAGTGGGAGTTGGCGGGGGACCCAGGGCCGGACAGCTCAGATGGAAGCATGCCGGCCCACGCAAAGCAAGCTGCGTCCAGTAATCGCATTTGCCTCAGCCCTTGCTGGATCCGGCGTCGCAGGTCCAGACCAAGGTCCTGTCCCTCCACCTCGCCGACCAATCGCCCGCCATCGACGCCAGGCCGGGCTGGGTTAGGGTCGCGGACAGCCTTCATGGCATGCTGGCGCAGGTGGTCTCCAGTGTGGACAGGAGCCTGCTCATGCGACTCATCGGTGCGACGTGGCATGGGATCCCGCATGCACGCTGGCATCCCCTGCAGGGGTCTGCTGGCGTTGCAGGCACCCTCCACACCTGCCCCTGGACCAAATTTGCAGGGAGCGTGGACGAGTGTGCCTTCCTGTGGGAGATGGATGCAGGCACGGAGCTGGAGGCTTTCATCGCCACGACACCGAGCCTGGAGGATTATGAGGACCGCCTGGCGCTCTTCGACAGGCTTGAGCAGGTGAGGGGGGGGTGGCTGGTGTGAGCTGGTGAAGTGCAAGACGTCATATCTGACAGTGCCAGGCTTGGGATTCTTTTCCGCTCCCTTCATGGGTTGAGGCCTGATCGAGGGCATGAAGAGCACAAGGAGTACCATGCTTCCTTCCAATAGTCATCATTGGGCAGCTCCAGAGCGGCCACCGTTTCCACAGGCAATGCGCACACACGTTGCGCATGCAGCTCATGCGTTCCTGCAGTTTGATGCCCAGCCTCTGCTGGCAGGAATGATAGATGAGTTGGCCTCATGGAAGGCCCTCTTCACCGAGCGCCTGCGAGTCCAGGGGTCAGATGCCCTGCAGGTGCGGGGCGGGCTGATCTGGGGGGATGGAGTCTTTGTGCTCCAGGGCTTGAAGCTGAGCTGGACTCTACCAATTCCCACTGGCTCCCCGGCCCAGGCTTTGAGCAAGAGGCTGGCTGGGCTCTTACTCGACCTGGAGCGGCCGGTGGAGGACCTGGAGGACTACCGCCACCTCAGCGCCTGTCTCAGCATCGTACACGACATGGAGTTCTCCTTCGGGGATGATGTGGAGCCTATCGAGTATACCTACGCTCTTCTTGGAAGGTTGGGCGGGGGTGGGGCAGTCAGATGTAGTTGGTGTACCATACCAACTGTCATCCGAGCATGCTCACGTAAGGAGAACACACTGGTCTGGCAACAACCCACGGCTACAGTCACCTTTGACAAGAGCCCTGCCGCAGGGTGGAGGCCCAGATCCCCAAGCAGGAGCTGGACGCGGTAGCAGACCTGAGGTACAGCTGGCAGAAGGTTCTGCACGCCGCCGCAGGGATGGGGGAGGTGCTCCTGCAAGAGAGGGTGAGCCGCCTGTGGGGACAGGGCCATGTGAATGCGGGCATGTTAAGCATTGGAGCCTGTGCTGGCTAAGCTGAGAGACGTGGTGGTCGGTTCAGTGGTCGACTCATCCTCCCTCACAACAGGTCGGCCTGCAACGTCAGCTGGTGGTGGATGTGCAGGCACTGCGTGCTGATACCGAAGCTTTCCTCTCAGACTGGGAACAGGATGGTGAGAGAGGTGGTTGGTTGCTGTCGTGCACCTTGGTGTCACGAAGGCCCATGGAGCTGCATGATCTACAACGAGCGCCACACATCTGGGGACCTGCAGATGTTGAAGAGGCCACTGCAAGGGGCAGGCCCAGGCAGGGTGCCGCAAGCCCCATGCCGCTGTTGTGTGCCCCCAGAGTCCGCACCACTGAACCACTGCTGCTTGCAGGACCCCTCGGCCCGGGCCTCCCGCCCTCTGAGGCTCTGGCAAGAACCAATCAGTTCCAGCAGATGTTTGAGGTGGGCGGGGAGGTGGAGAGTGGCTTGCGGCGGCTGTGAGCATGGTGTTTAGACATCGTCCCCATGCAGAGCTGGAGCTGCTGCCCTGCTGCTGGGGTTGGCTTTATGCATCTGCCCGACGCCGCCCTGGTCTGGCGTGCAGGCGCGCAAAGCGCGCTGGGAGGCCTGCATCTCCGGGGAGGCCCTGTTTGGGATGCAGGTGACCAAGGTCCCGGGCCTTGCCAGCTTGGAGCGTGAGTTGGCCAATCTCCACCAGTTCTACAGGTGATGACGGTGTGGGGTGGCTGGCAGGGCCCTGCCAGCATGATGTGACGGCTTGATTGCAAGGAGTTCCTAGCTGCTTTTCTAATGCCTGAACCCCATGAGGGCCTTGCAACCACCAAGGTTGATCCCTGCCCCGTACTGGCTTCTGCAGTTTGTTTGTGGACCTCGTCACGGCTGTGGACCAGCTCAGTGCCATGCCCTGGAGAGAGGCTGCCAGCCAGATTACCTCTATGCTACAACAAGTTGCCTCCTTCCAGAGCCGGAGCGAAACCCTCTCCGAGGCAAGGTGCCGGGCCTTCAGCCAGGCAGGGTGCACGGTTGACCTCCTTGAAGAGATACCCAGCCTTCCAGGTGTCTGGAATCCTCCCATTATTGCACCGCACATGCCTCAGACCTTCATCCTTGACTGTGTCAGGATCTGGCAAGCCTTCCGGCGCAGCTGGAGTTCAAGGATCAGCTCAAGAACCTGTCAGACACACTGTCTCTGGTCCAAGGCCTGGCAAACAGCTCCATCAGGCCGAGGTGGGCCTGAGAATGTTGAAGGGTGTGCTTCGTGAGCAACAGCCTGCATTGAAAAACAGATTTGCAAGGCTTGCTACATCATGCCTTTTGATCTCCATTGAGTGTGCTTGACTGCAGGCACTGGCAGCGCTTGCAGGAGCTGTGTGGCACTCCCCTTCCATCAGATGATACGGGTCTCATCCTTGGGGACCTCTTGAATGCACAGCTCTCTGCCCACTGGTATGTTTACCAATCCTAGCTTTGTGTCGGGAAATGGAGTGTTCGGTATCGGGATTGGCGCCGGACACATACACGCATGCCAATGTGACTAGGCTTGGCTTTTCAGAGAGGCACCAATGCCTGAGGACCCAGCCAGCCCTCAAGGATGGCCTTCTACTCCCGGGCATGTTGCAGGGAGGAGCTGGAGGAGCTGTTCTCCTGTGCCAAGAGGGAGGAACAGATTGAGCAGAAGCTGGGGAACATAGAGGCACAATGGACCACAGAATGCTTTGTCTGGGTCGACCACAAGCTTCGACCCGCCAGCATCCTGAAGGTGGTGGGGCGGCGGTGCGCGTGCATCCAGTGAGGTTCATCCCGCATGCCGAGGGCGCTCCTCTAATTCTGTCCTGCCCCAGCTCACGCCGTGCTATTTTGACAGGCTTCTGACACATCTGAGCTCATGGAGCGGCTGGAAGATGCGCTGCTGGGCCTCACTTCCTTGATGAGCAATCGCTACTCTGCCTGCTTCAGGCCAGGTGAGCCAATGTAGCAGGGACGCAGGCGAGCTCCCAGGCCCTGCATCTTACAATACATCGGGCTTGGGAAAGGGGGCTAAGCCATCGAGTCTCGGGAACTCACTGCAGACATCCAGGCCTGGACCTCCAAGCTGTCCACCATCAGCGACGTTATGGAGCAGTGGCTTGTGGTGCAGAACATGTGGATGTACATGGAGGCCGTCTTCAGGTAGGGCCCCAAGACAGAGGCTGAAAGTTGTGGTTGTTAGGGACTGCATACCATCAACTAGGGAGTGAAGCGGGGTTCTCAATCCAGCATCATCTGCCCCTCCTGCAGCGGCGGAGACATCGTGAGGCAGCTCCCCCAGGAGGCGCGTCGCTTTGCTGCGATCGACAAGAGCTATGAAAACGTACACTGGGAGGGTGGAGGCCGAGGCTGTGGATGCTTGTGTGCCGCGCAGCACTGCATGCATACTTGGCATGCTGGGAGGCACAGCCCATCTTTGGTGCCGGCCACCACCCCCACCCTGCTTCCCCTGTTCGCAGCTGTTGCGCCACACCCGCGAGAGCCAGACCTGCCTGGCAGCCTGCTGCAACTCCGATGTCATGCAGCACATGCTTCCCAGCCTGGTACAGCAGCTGGAGGTCGTGCAGAAGAGCCTGTCGGCCTACCTCGGTGGGGTTGGTTATGTGTGAGAAGTTTAGGGCCTTACAGGACGCTGACGTACTGCCGGCGTGGGGCTACTGCATCTGTGACTTGTCACTCAACCTTGTGCAGGCATCTTTGCATGAAGTTACTCGTGCACTCCACCCCACTCCTTGTGTGCAGAGAGCAAGAGGTCTGAGTTTTCGCGCTTCTACTTTGTGGCCGATGCCACCCTGCTGGAGATTCTCTCCCTTGGGTCGGAGCCTGCGGCTGTGAGTTTGACAGGGTGGCTGGATGTCTTTGCCAACTCTTGACCATCTCCATCACACATCTGCTCAAGCTTGGTCCCATGACAATCCACACAGGTTGTGCCGCACTTCCAATCAGGCCTGTTCGATGCCCTGCACAGCATAACCTTTGACAAGGTGGCTGGGGTTGCCTGGTATATAGGCAAATACTGAGAGCGCTCCACCAATCTTTGTATGCAAAGAGCACGTGCCAATGCAGGGCTGAGACCTTCCCCAATCCATGTGTCAATGGGTCCCACGTCTTTGCTCCTGCAGAATGATAAAAATTGCATGCTGGGCATGAACAGCTTTGACGGGGAGGCCGTGAGGCTATCGCGTCCCATCCAAGCACGTGGGAACGTCGAAGTCTGGCTGCAGCAGCTTGTGGCTGGAATGCAGGTGAGGACTGGAGGCAGGATGGACACCTTTAGACCGCTTTCCAAATGCCACAGCTCTCTGCAATCAGACACCCAGCTACACTGTCCTGTGATCATCCTTGAATCCTTCATGCTCGAGCTGCAGGAAACCTTGCGCGTCCTGGCGCGCCAGGCACTCAGGGACGTGTATGAGCAGGATCTGGAGACCTTCCTCTTCTCTCACCCGGCTCAAATCGCACTCCTGGGCCTACAATTCCAGTGGACCCTGGACACCCATGTGCGTGGAAGGAGGGAATGGCACATGTGGGCCTCAGACGGGGATCTGTAAGAGTGACGGTGGGGGGTCCAGACCTGCTTCCCACACGCACTGCTTATCCAAGCATGCTGGAAGGGTGGAAGTACGTCCTCGGTAGCATGGCGGCGCGCCCACCACTCGACTCCCTACATCGCATGGTGCAGTTGGCACTCGCCGCAGCCGGCAAGGACAAGTCGGCTGTGATGAAGGTGCAGCGCAAGGCGGACGGCATCCTACAGACGTTGGTGTCCCTCACTCTGCGCAACGATCTAACCTCGATCCAGCGCACCTCCCTGGAGACCTGCATCACCGTGTACATGCACCAGAAAGAGGTAGGAGGCGATGTGTGTTTGGCGGATAATCGGAGGATGGATATTCCCTGTGTCATGCGTAGGGAGGAGCCATGTTTGGTTATCCTATGGCATCGTCGCCCTGGCAACAATGACTGGGCAACAATGACTGCCCAAGAGCGCGGGAACCTTGCACATGGGCACCTGCGCGCTCGTCACGACACCGATCAGTGTCACAACATCCTTGCAGGCACTGGATGATCTGGTGAGGAAGAAGATCAAAGACCCATCCGACTTTGAGTGGCAGAAGCAGGCCAGGTTTTATTGGCTGGAGGAGAGGGTCCTGGCCCAGATCTCCATCTGTGATGTGGATTTCGAGTACAGCTTCGAATACCTGGGTGAGCCAGGGGTGGTGGTGCTCTGTGTGCCGCCTTTGGACGGTAGCGCTGGGACCGGCACGCAATGGCAGGGACACGGCACTTCAGCACTCCCTTGAGCGCTCGCCCACATCCCTGCTCAGGAGTGAAGGAACGGCTGGTCATAACACCCCTCACCGATGTCTGCTACATCACCCTCTCCCAAGCGCTGGGCATGTTCATGGGTGAGCTACACGGTGCACTCGCATATGCCCTGCTCCATGCTGCACCCCCATGTTTGGGACATGCATCGAGCTTCCAATCCCATCTCTACTGCAGGAGGGGCCCCTGCAGGACCCGCCGGAACTGGAAAGACAGAGACCACAAAGGATCTTGGGAACACTCTGGGGAAGTGAGTTGGGGCTGAGGAATGCCTTGGTGGTAGCAGGTGCCGGCACCTTTGGAATAAGGATGACAGGAGAAGCAACCCTTTATATTGATGGAAGAAGACTTGGATGGCACCCACTGCCCAACTCCCTGCCCACAGATATGTTGTGGTGTTCAACTGCTCTGACCAGATGGACATCAAAGGCATGGGCAAGATCTTCAAGGGTCTCGCCCAGGTGGGTGGCACGAAGGTCATCGAACGTGGGCAGGCATCCGTACATCACAAATACTGAGGGAAACCTGGCTGCAGCAGACCTCCTCCATGCACTTTCCAATCCCTCCCTTCTCTCTCCATGCTGCAGTCTGGGCTGTGGGGTTGCTTCGATGAGTTCAACAGGATCAATGTCGACGTCCTTTCAGTCTGTGCCCAGCAAGTAGGTCTGCACGCGGGTGGATATGCAGGCAGTGGATGAGTTTAAGGTTCTGAAGTCACAACATCCTCTTCCCCACCATGTCATCACAGATACACTCAATCTTCTCGGCACTCCGTGAGCAGAAGACCTCGTTCCTCTTCACTGATGGGACAACCATTCCCCTGGACCCACGTGTCGGGATTTTCATCACCATGAACCCTGGGTATGCCGGGCGACAGGAGCTCCCAGAGAATCTGAAGGTGAGGCCACTGGTGTCAGCTCATGCACGACAAGCTTGGGGCAACATCCCATCCATGGGTCATTGAGGGTGGTGCCCTGTTTCCTGTCTTCCGCTGCCAAGTCTCACCCCTTCACCACATATTGCAGGTCCAGTTCCGCGGGGTTACCATGATGGTTCCCAACCGCCAGATCATCATGAAGGTGGGTGCAGGGAGTTCCTGCTGCAAGGGATGGTGCTGCATGCCAAGCTGAGACCAGCTGAGGCCGATCTTGCATGCTTTCCTTGTGTCTTGCGATAACATGCATGCTTGATGCCCAATCCACCTTGTGCTTTGCAGGTGAAGCTGGCGGCATGCGGATACCAAGAGAATGACGTCCTCTCCCGGCGCTTCCACACGCTGTATGGCCTGTGCGAGCAGCAGCTCTCACGCCAGCCCCACTACGACTTTGGCCTCCGCAACATCCTGGCAGTGCTGCGCTCCTGTGGATCTCTGAAGCGCCAAAACCCCCAACAGTGAGGCTTGGGGGAGAATGAGAGTGGTAGGGATGGGGGAAGAGTATGAAGGGAATTAAGCATAGCCATGCTGCTGACTGGAGGGAAGGCGGTGCTGCTCCCACACAGCGCCAGCGGGGCCCACATGAACACACCGATCCATCCATCATCCCCAGGTCCGAGATGCAGCTGCTCATGCGCGCCCTGCGCGACATGAATGTCAGCAAGCTGGTGGGCGATGACCTGCCCCTCTTCCTGAGCCTGGTGGAAGACGTCTTCCCCGGGCAGAAGCTGGAGCGCATGCAGCTGGGGGACGTTCAGGCCATGCTAAAGACGGTGCGGGCGGCTGTGGCGGGTGCTTGAAGGGAGATGGAGTGTTAGAAGTGCAGGGCATGGTCACCATATACCCAGCTGGGACAGGCACGGGCATGGTGGGGGCAAATGAAAAGGTCCTTGCCCAGCTGCTCATACTCCTCCCTGCGAATTTCGCCCTGCCAGGTGGCCAAAGAGGCTGGACTGCAGACCCACGGCCCCTGGCTCAACAAGTGCATGCAGCTCCATGAGACGAATCAGGTGGAGGATGGGGCTAGGAGGGAGGTCCAAGGATCCTTGGCTGCATGTCCATGGGCGAGGCCATTGCACCAAGCTGGGAAGCCCAGCCCCCCCCCTTTCTTTCATCTCCATCCCCCTCCTCCCCTTCTCCTCTCCCCAGGTTCGGCACGGCATCATGGTCATTGGGCCCGCCGGGGCTGGCAAGACCAGCGTCATGGAGAGCCTGGCAGCTGCGCACACTCGCCTGGGTGCCAAGACGGTGCTGTGGCGCATGAACCCCAAGTCCATGCGTGCCGAGCAGATGTTCGGGCAGGTGGACCCTGCCACGGGCGAGTGGACGGACGGCGTGTTTGCAGTGCTGTGGCGCCGCGCGGCGCGGGCCCAGCACCAGCACACCTGGATTGTGATGGACGGACCCATCGACGCCATCTGGATCGAGAACCTGAATTCAGTGAGTGGAGGTTGAGGTTATTCAGGGGAGACGGGGGTTGAAAGGTGTTTGATGGACCAGGGGATGGGTCTGGCGTGGAGCGACCAAGCCTCTGCACACAGTTCACTACCCTATGCATATATTGGGCTGTGTTTCCACCACGCACTAGCACCATGTACCCAAAGCGCCTGATGTTGAGTGCGCCACCAGCCTTATTCGCTTGCACAACAAGCACCTCACCTGCTCGTCTCACAGGTCCTGGACGACAACAAGGTGCTCACGCTGTCAAACGGGGACCGTATTCAAATGACACAAAAGATGCGGGCCATGTTTGAGGCCGAGAATCTGAACAATGCGTCGCCTGCCACAGGTTGCAGAGGGCACTGTTGTATGGCCTTGCGTGTGCCTGGGTGTTGCTGCGTTTATTGGAGGGAGGTTCAGCTGGTTTATGCACAGGGAGGCATCACCAGCAACAATACCATCCAACAGCATGTTTCACCCAGACATGCCCCCCCACTTCCCACTTCCTTTGTCCTTCCTTGCGCAGTCTCTCGCGCGGGAATCGTGTACGTCTCCCCGGCCGACCTGGGCTGGCAGCCCATGCTGGATTCCTGGCTTGCGCAGCGACGAACCCCGGAGGCACTGGTCCTGCGGCCCTTGTTTGACCGCCTTGTCGCCCCTCTGCTGGATCACGTCAGGTCAGGGCAGTGCGGTTGGCAGGACGTGGCGACACGGTGTCAGAAAGGAGCAGGAGCGGCATTCACATGTCCAAACTGCTCTGCGGCCCAGGAGCGTCTCATCTACTCTCACTCCTGCAGGTCGGCGTGCACGCCCATCATGCCGGTGGAGGCCTGCGGTCTGGTGGGGACCCTGCTCACACTGCTGACGGGGATGCTGGACGGTGTGGCCTCGTCCGCCCCAGACGGCGGCGCAGCAATGACCCCCACCCAGGCGCCGCAGCTGGAGTCCGTCGTGCTCTTCTGTCTGGCATGGTCCCTTGGAGGCCTGCTCGAAAATGCCGACCGGACAGGCTTTGATGCCAAGCTCCGCAACCTGAGCCAGGCCGCTCCTCCCCTGGTGAGCTGTGTTGAGTGCTGAGTACGCAGGCAGGGTTCTGTTGGAGTCTGCACCGCTCCCCCACAGACTTACCCGACTCAGTGTGGAGCGACAGGGGTAACAGAAGTTGCACTTCCCTCCGCTGATTCTGGGCCAGCTGCTGCACACATTATCCTTCAGGATGGGAGTGGCCTGTCCACCATTTACGACTATGTCTATGATGTGGCGGGGGCCCGCTGGACACCCTGGGTCCAGCTGGTGCCGAGGTGGAGCTACCCCACCCCTGGGGCGCGGGTGGCCCTGAGCAAGACAGTGGTGCCGACCCTGGACTCCACACGCTACGGCTACCTCATGAAGCTGGTGCATGCTGCAGGGAAGCCTGTTCTGGTGAGTCCAGGGCTGGGGGGCCGAGTGAGTACCACACAAGCTGGAACCTCGTGTTCTCGTGCCACCTTTGGTAGTTTTCACAGCCCTCCCTGCCTGACCCTCAGATTGTTGGGCAGCCTGGCACCGGCAAGTCCACTCTCGTTCGGCAGTACCTGAGTCGGGCAGGCGAGGGCGGTCTGGCGTCCAAGACGCTGGTCCTGTCATCGCTGACAAGTCCTGGGGCTCTGCAGTACTCTGTAGAGAGATCCATGGAGAAGCGGCAGGGGAGGAGCTATGGACCCCCCACAGGCAGGAGGATGACCGTGTTCTTCGATGACATCAACATGCCCGCTATCAATGAATGGGGTGACCAGGTGGGGCAGAGGTTGGGAAGCATACACACACACGGACTGCTGGGGTGTTGCTAAGGGCTCCTGGTCCAACGTCGGCTGAGCTGGGATGGAGCTCCAGCATAGATGTGCCGCCATACAATGTGCCATCCTCAAAAAGCAGATTCCCCACTGGCATGAAGGCCTTCGCTCGTCCCTACTCACACAGCCAACCAATGAGCTGACGCGCCAGCTCCTTTCTCAGAGCAGCTACTACTCCCTGGAGAAACCCATCGGGGACCTGAACTTTGTCGTCGACGTGCAGTGAGCGATGGGAGTGGGAGGGAGGTGCTTGGGTCACCCTACCGGCCAGCCAAACCAGACACGGGATATGGTGCTCACCACCCCTCCCCACAACACATGTGCAGGTATGTGGCGTGCATGCGAGCTCCAGGAGTCGGGTCGCAGGACATCCCCTCCCGGCTCAAGCGCCAGTTTGCCATCTTTGGGCTGCCCTCGCCTTCCGTGGAGAGCGTGAGCAGCATGTTTGGCGCAGTCCTGGAGGGCCGGTTCCACACCGCTGCCTTTGGGCGCGCGGTCGCGGACGCCGCCTCGAGCCTGGTGGCCGCCACCCTGGCAGTGCTGGAGGAGGCCCAGGCAAACCTGCAGCCCGCCCTGCCGCGGCTGCACTACCAGTTCTCCTTGCACGACGTTGCCAAGGTGGGGCGCGCATGGGCGCAGCACAGGCCTGCGCCTGGCATGCTGGGGCCCCTTTACATTTGCGCCGGCCCAAACCTTGTCCACCTCCACATGCGACTCGCCTGCTCGCGGCGATTATGTACCACTTGCATGCGCTGCATCTACAGCCCTCTCTCACCTTGGTCTCTATAACCATGCAGGTGGTTCAGGGAATGCTGCATGCCAGCAGCGACCACGTCCTTGGCAAGCACCCAGGCTCATCGCCACCCACCTACATCGCTGGGCTGTGGCGGAACGAGGTGTCGCGAGTGTTTGGAGACAAGCTGGTGTGTGCGGAAGACAAGGCCTTCCTTGCCACCGTCATTGCATCGCAGCTAGACAAGGTGGTCATGGCTTGAGTGGGGCCCATTGGTAGTTAGACATTGTACCGACATGCGACTCTTGGTCTTTGGATACAGCGCAATCTATTTAGATGGTGAGGTCCTCAGTGCATTACTGTGGTGCAGGCTGGTCATGGCGGTCTTGGGGAGCTGGTCCAGTACGCAGGCTTCACCCAGGAGCGTCTGGAGGGGAGGCATGGAGGAGCCCTGGTGCTGCCGGCGTACATGGGCATCCCGCAGGCCGCGGCGTCTCTGAAAACATACATTGAGGGTGCACTGGCGGGTGCCGGCTCCAGCTCTCGCTCACAGAATGCGGAGCTGGTCATGTTTGACGGTGGGTGGTGTTACTTGGTGTTGGGTCCATGGCTTGAGCTGTGCAGGCGGTTGCACTGAGTTAGCACCACACCATCAAGCTTCTGCACCGGCCTCACATAATCCTCGCATTCCCTGGGCACCAGATGCTCTGGGTCACACCGTCGGAATTGCTCGCCTGCTTGGCATGGAGAGGGGGTCTGCCGTACTGGTGGGTGTAGGCGGGTCAGGCAAGCAGTCGCTGGCCAGGCTGGCAGCGACACTGGTGGGGGCGAGCGTCTTCCAGATCACCATGGCGAAACAGTATGGCGTTCCCCACTTTCTGGAGGATCTCAAGGTGGAGGAGCACAGTGGTGGGACAGCAGCATACCAGGAGCACGATGCATGCTTGGCCCTGCTGCCCCTATACTCTCATTTTGAAACTGAGGCGGACCCTGCATGCCTCTCGCCCGCCCCAGGTGCTCTGCAAGGCGCTGCTGGCAAAGAATCAGCCCATCTGCTTCATTGCGACCGATGCTGAGATGAGGGAGGATGCCTTCCTGCAGCACCTCAACCAGCTGCTGGTCACAGGCGACATACCAGAGCTCTTCACGCGGGAGGAGATGGACGCCCTGCTGAGCGACCTGCGCCCAGCCATGAAGCTGGCATCGCCCGGTATGAGAGTGTACTTTGTGTTTCTTGGTGGTGATCGGGTGGGCTGAGGGAGGGAGGGGCGACCAGGGCCTGTAGAGCCTCTGTCATGGGGCATCACTTTGCGCCCAGGGGACTGCAGCCAGGCATGCCACTGAAGCAACCACACCCGCTGCCTTGCCCAACAGATGTACCAGATACTGCGGAAAATCTGCGTGCCCACATGGCCGAGTGCATCCAGACGCGGCTACACCTGGTCCTGTGCTGTTCCCCCGCGGGGCCACAGTTCAGGCGGTGGATCCAGCAGGTGCAGCTTGTTTTTGGGGGGCCGGAGCGACTTGGAAAGGCTCCCCTGCTCTCCTCATCCAGCCAGCCATTGAGACGCTCCAGCCATGTAGAATTGCCACCTCTCTGTGCAGTTTCCGTCCCTGCTGTCCGCATGCCAAGTGGACTGGTTCTTGCCCTGGCCCGAGGATGCCATGGTGGGGGTTGCCGGCCAGCTCCTGCACTCTGCGCGCCTGCCGGTCACCCATACCAGCCAGCTGCAGCGCCTGATGGCCCGCGTCCACCAGCACATTGCAGAGACCTGCCAGGTACTGGGCTTCGAGATTGGGACTGGGGCAGATCTGAAGGATAGTTTGTAGGGAGGAAGAGGGCGTGCTGGACATCCCAACGAGGTCCTGACAAGTCTGGAGCAAGGCCACATAGCCTGAATGAACTGAGGCCTCGCTCTGTCGAGGACACAAAGGATGCAAAAAGGTAAAGGAGTACACCCTCCCACATTATACTGACTCAGGTGTACTTGCGACAGACAAAGCGGGCTGTGCATGTGACACCAAAGTCGTTCCTGTCGTTCGTGAACAACTTCAAGAGCATCTACCAGATGTGAGTCCGGGGCATGGGTTCCTCCTCCAATATAAAATGCGCTCAAGAACCTGCATGCGCATCCAGCGGCGCCTGTGCATGCACTCACCTGGCCCGTCCAGCCGGACACTCAACATACACTACCCCACACTGATGTCTAACAGGAAGCTGCAGCAGACCACGACGCAGATAACAACCCTAACAAATGGCTTGCAGCGCATGGCGCAGACGCGTGAGGATGTCGCGAACATGCAGACCCAGCTCGCCAGCAAGACAGAGAAGCTGGAGGCCGCTGCCAGCGAGGCCAAGGCCCTGCTGCACCAGATCTCCGTCTCCACCAGTCAGGCTGAGAAGGACCGTCAGAAGGTTGCCGCAATCGTGGAGACTGTGACGGCCAAGGTGGGCGGCAGGGGTGGCTGGTCGAGCGCTGGACCTCAGCCATGTGTAGGGTGTGCAAAGGAGTATCAACATATACGATTGACAAAAGGCACCCCTGCTGATTGATGCCCCCTGCCCAGCACCAGGGGCGTAGAATCCACGCTCCAATATCTGTGTCCTCTACAGGCGCACGACATAGCGGCTGTCAAGCACGATGCGGAGCGAGACCTGGAGGAGGCCCAACCAGCACTCCAAGCCGCGCTGGCAGCGCTCAACTCCATCACTCCCACGGATATCACGTCGCTGAAGGCGCTGAAGAACCCGCCAAACATCGTGAAGCGCATTTTTGACTGCGTGCTGCTCCTCAGGTGGGGGGTCCTAGCATGGCCTGAAGGGCAGGGCTTGGGGTGAGGATACCACTACTCGATGCATCAATGCCTTCACTCAAGGTCCCTTCGTCCTGCCGCAGGCACTTTCCAGTCAACAATGTCGCCTGGCAAGAGCTCAAGGGCACCATGGTCATTGCTGGGAGCTATGAGGACGCCGTCAAGATGATGGGCGACCTGAACTTCTTGCAGTCGTTGATCCACTTCCCCAAAGAGGCCATTTGTGATGAGACCGTGGAGCTACTCCAGGTTGAGAAGCCTGATGCCAGGGGAGGCTGCTGGAGGGCAGCCTGCATCGTTGCGAGAGTGCTTGACCTCTTGAAGAACAGCATGTGTGCCGTCCATTGGTGGGATTCTCTCCATCCCCCTCCTCCCGGCACTCCAATCACTGCAGCCATACTTCTCTGCCCCAGACTTCAACTTTGCTAGCGCCAAAAAGGCCAGTGGGAATGTGGCAGGACTCTGCAACTGGGCAGAGGCCATGTGCAAGTTCCATGCCGTTGCCAAGGTGAAGGCAGGGCAGTTTATTTCTGGGATCTGGAAGATCGCAATGCCTGATGTGCTATGCGTATTAGAAAAAGCCTGCCTTCACAAATGGCCCCCATATGAATTGGCATAGGTGGTCGAGCCCAAGATCTCAGCGCTGCGAGACGCAGAGGCTGAACTCAAGCTTGCAGCCAGGGAGCGGATGCTGGTGAGTGGCACCGGGAGGTGGGCCCAAATTTGCAATCTGGTCTCTTTCACTGATTGCACGCAAAGCACAATTGAGCAGCTCAGCTCAGCTCTGCCTTTCCCTCTGCCCGTGTAGGCCGAGGAAGATCTGGCGGTTGTGCAGGGCAACCTCGACCAAATGCAGCAGCAGCTGGATGCAGCCATTGCCCAGAAACAGGTGACGCCATGCGGGCAACATGAGTCCCTCGTGGTAGAGCATTGCAAAAAGTAACGCCACCTTTCAGTCTCAAGAAAGGCCACAATCTCACCCTGACTTCACCACAGGCACTGGAGCATGACCTCAGCACTGCCCAGTCCAGGATGACCACCGCCAGCTCCCTGCTGACAGCTCTGAAGGGCGAGGAGGGGCGGTGGACGATGCAGCTGGAGGCATACCGGAGCAGCGCAAATGCTCTGCTGGGAGACTGCATCGTTGCTGCAAGGTCGGTAGCGCATGGCGGGGAGCTGTGGAAGAGCGCGTTGGGCATCACCTTCTTGGCTGTTCACCCCAGTGTGCACCCAGGAAAAGTTGTTGGCAGCTACCGTCTGCCTTGTGTCAAGCTCCCCATTCCCTCCCTCCTACAGTTTCCTTTCTTACCTCGGGCCCTTCAACAAGGCGTTCCGGGACACCCAGCTGCAGAAGGAACTGGCCGCAGCCTGCACCTCCCTGGGGGTCGCCACGACGCCCCATCTTCAGGTGGGCATATAAACTCTATGGGATGAGCGGTGCAATGAGACCTTTGGAGATGGTTGGCATGCCGAAGATGGGTGCGCGGAATCGCAGACCAGTGTCTTGAGAGTGCCCGCTTCACCCATCATGTGCAGGTCCTGGACTTCCTCGTGGACGAGCAGGAGAAGGCGCAGTGGGTCGCAGATGGCCTCCCCGCTGACGAGCTCTCCCAACAGAATGGAGTGATAGTATCGAGGGCATCCCAGTGGCCCCTCCTCATCGATCCGCAGGGGCAGGTGCGGGCACAGGGGCCCAGCTTGATGCAAGTTCAGTACCTTACGTGGCAGGGAGGAGCGTGCAAGCAGGTGCTTACCTAAGCTTGCCGATAACCGATCCCCCCGCCCTCCTGGAACACACCCGACAGGCCCGGGCGTGGCTCCTAAAGAAAGAGGAGGCCAAGGCCATCTGCACCGTCCAGGCCGCAGATGCAGGGTTCCGGGCGACCCTGGAGTCGTGCCTGCAGGAGGGCAGGTGGGTTGGGTTGCCTGGCTGCCAGTCGTGGGCTGTTGGGACACCAGACCGTGCCGCCAGAGCATCACGCCGCCTCTTTGGCACCACGATTACCCCTCTGCCCCCCCACACAGGCCCTTGCTGATTGAGAACATTGATGAGGAGGTGGACCCCATCCTGGATCCCATACTGGAGCGGCGCTTCATCACGAGAGGTCGGTGGTGGGGAGCGAACCCTGGGTGCCTCAATGGCTCCAGCCTGACGGGCGCCAGGTCATGGCGGTGCATGATCCCTGTCCTACAAAGCCCTATCCCTCGGCTCCAATGCACTCATCCAGGAGGCACGATGCTTGTGACGCTGGGCGAGACTGAGGTGGAAGTGGCCAAGGGTTTCCGCCTGTACATCACCACCCGGCTGCCCAACCCCAACTTCACGCCGGAGCTGGCGGCCAGGGTGACGCTCGTGGACTGCACCGTGGCCCGCGTGGGGCTGGAGGACCAGCTGCTCAGCCGGCTCATACTGAAGGAGAAGCACGAGCTGGAGCACCAGCGTCGCAAGCTGGTGGCGGAGGTAGGCTCCCGGCTGCAGCTCCCAGGATGCAGGGTGTGCTGGTCCAGAGTACCAGGGAGTCATGCGCAAGGCCCCGCCAGGGCTGAGTGGCCCCCTACTTCCCGTGTCCCAGGTCCAAAACTACCACGCCAAGATCTCAGAGCTGGAGGAGGAGCTGCTCCAGCGCCTGTCCAACTGCGAAAACCTGCTGGAGGACGGCGACCTTCTCAACATCCTCGCCAGGACCAAACAGACAGTGCAGGTGGGCGCAGGGGTGTGGCGCAGGGGCGTGGTGCTGCCGGCTTGCCACGTGAGCTGGCATTGCCCGACTCACGGACCCTATGTTCATCCGGCGGCAGGACGTGGATGAGCGGCTGGCCACCGCATCGGACACACGGAAGAAGATACAGGTAGCGTGCGAGGAGTACCGTCCCGCGGCGCGCCGTGCCATGCTGCTCTACTTCCTCATCACCGACTTCTCGGTCGTCAACTGCATGTATCAGGCAAGTGCTGGGGGATGGGCTGTGGGGTCGGCACAAACCAGTCTTGCCCCTCCACCACAATACAGTGTGTCACCCCCCGTCACACTCCCTCCCCCGTCCATGACATCGTCGTGCAGACATCCCTGGCACAATTCACTGCGCTCTACGAGCGCTCCATCGACCAGGCTGATCGCTCCGTAGTCCCAGCAAAACGCGTGCTGCACATAACTGGCGCGCTGGGTTGCAGCCAAGGGGGGGGGGAGGGAGTCTGTACGCACATGTGGGGGCCTGGCTGGAAGACTCTGTGCAGGTATCACATTCCCTCCACTGTCCCTCCCATCCAACTCACAGATCACTTTACCTATGCGGCCTTCCTGTACGTGTGCCGTGGACTCTTTGAGCGCCATCGTGCTGTCTTTGCCTTTGCTCTGAGCTGCACCCTCATGGTACAGGCGGTGGGAGGGCGGGGGGCACCTCGTACTGAATGCGGGGACCGACGGAATGGCTGTCTTTGGATGGGGAATTGGGATGCACCTCCACGATCACATGTCAGATCACTTTTGTACACATCCCCTGTCGCTCTGTTTAGGTGGCAGCTGGCCAGGCCTCGTCGGAAGAGGTTGCAGTGCTCCTGGATGTGCTCCCTGTCAAGAACGACGTCCCGCCAAGGCCAAGGGTATGGAGTCGACCTTGTGATTGAGCCCTCTGAAGCCCTCACCAATGAGCCTGAGCTCCCCATCTGAGCCACACTCCACAATCACTGCACATGCACCATCTGCACTCCTGCACCAGGAATGGCTGTCCAAGCCCGTGTGGCACCGTCTGCAGTCTCTCCAGGGCCTCCGGGGCCTGTCAGACATCCTGGCGGTCCTGGCCAGGGGCGATGCCGCCTGGCACGCCTGGGCGGGCGCGGAGATGCCGGAGAGCCTCCCCCTGCCCGAGCTGGACGCCCGGGTGTCCCCGCTGCAGCGTGTCCTCGTCGTCTGGGCCCTGAGGGAGGACAGAGCCATGATGGCCGCGGCACGCTGCGTGAGAGCCACGCTGGGGGAGCGCTACACCGAACCCCCGCCAGCTGGCTTGGAGGAGGTGCTCAAGGAGAGCGGCCCCTCCACCCCCATCATCTGCCTCCTCTCACCAGGCAATGCCAGCGGGCAGGGAGTGGGTACCAGGAAGTTGCATGGGCCCTGGCCTGAGCCTGCTGCGCTAGCGGTCCACCAGGGATCGTGGAAAGCTCTGAAATCTTGTGCCTGACTAGATGTCAGGGCCAAACTCTTGCCCCACATCGCCACACCCAACAACACACGGCCTCCTGTTATCACCCCGCGCTGCGCAGGCGCCGACCCCACCGAGCAGATCGAGACGCGGGCCAAGCAGGCCAAGGCCAAGCTCAGCATCCTGTCCATGGGGCAGGGCCAGGAGGTGGCTGCCCGCCGGCTCGTCAGCACCGCTGCCTTGGAGGGCCGCTGGGTGCTCCTCCAGAACACGCACCTCAACACCCAGTACCTGGCCGAGGTGTGGCGTGGGTGGTGGGGGGAAGGGGTGGGAAGGGGTCCTTCTGTGGGGTCCATGGCTCAAGCATGTGGCCTTGATGGGATGCCCTGTTCACACTCACCTACTTTCAAGAATCTTGGTCGCGTTGGATGTGAAGCATGTGATCGCCCTTTACAACGCATACTGCTTCACATGGGCATGCGTCGATCACACCTCCCACCGCAACACACCCTAAGTCCCTACTCTTGGCCCACCCACCCTCCCCTCCCCTTGGTCCCCAGTTGGAGTGGCAGCTTGCGGCCGATCGAGCCCACCTCCACCCCGACTTCCGGCTGTGGCTGACCACCAGCCCACACCCCGGCTTCCCCATCGGCCTGTTGCACGCCGGCCTGCGCAGCACCAACGAGGCGCCCACGGGCCTCAGGGCAGGGCTCAAGACCTCCTACGCCTGGGTGTCCCAGGACACCCTGGACGCGGTCAACCGCCCCGACTGGCGCCAGCTGGTCTACATCACCTGTTTCATGCACGCCGTGCTTCAGGGGCGGCGCAGGTTCGGCCCCATCGGCTGGACCATCCCCTACGCCTTTGACCAGGCGGACCTCGCCGCCGCACTGCACTTCCTGCAGGTGGGCTGCGCGGGCTGCACCTCGCTCAGCGGGCCGCCTTGGCCTTGCGATCTTCCCTCCACTTCCGACCCCCCCCCCCCCCCCAAAAAAAAAACCCCTCCCCTGACCCACAGAACCACATGGCGGAGGTGGACACAAAGCGCGGCCAGGGCCCCAACTGGGGCACGCTGCAGTACATGGTGGCCATGGTGCAGTACGGTGGGCGCGTGAGCGAGGACGCGGACCGGCGCCTGCTGCAGACGCTGGCGGAGCACTTTTACGCGCCCGCCATGCTGGCGCGGGGGGCCAGCCTGCACACCGGGGGCGGGGCGCCGGGGCCCTACGCCGTCCCCGACGCGCCAGGCCTGGAGGCGCACCAGGCCCTCATCCAGGCCATCCCGGAGGCTGAGGCCCCGGAGGTGTACGGCCTGCACTCCAGCGCCGAGCTGGCCTTCTGCACTGTCCAGGTCTGCTTGCTGCCAGGGCTGTGGTGATTGGTTCACGAAGGGTGTGGGGGGATGGAGGTCGCGCGGGGATTCAAGTGCGTCCATGCCGAGCGGCAGGAGAGACAGGCGGCCACTCACAGGGCTGCACCCACACTGTTTATTTCTCCCTTGCACCCCGCTACCCCTCCCCCCAAAACGAGCAACTCCGCACAGGTGCACGCCGACCTCGCCGTGCTGGCCCAGATCCAGCTGCACCGCGCCCTGGGCCAGTCGGCCACTGCCCAGCCCGGCGCTGGCGAGGCGCACGACGCGCCGGGCGGCCGGGCAGAGGAGTGCCTGGGCGAGCTGTGCGCCGCGCTGCTGGCGCGTCTGCCCGCGCCGCTGGAGGTCCCCGGCGAACGCGGCGGCGCGGACGCCGCGCCGCCGCGCTGGGGTCCCGGCCCGCTGACGGTGTGCGTGCGGCAGGAGGCGGCGGCCCTGAACCGGGTGCTGCACTATGTAATGGCAACGCTGGCCAGCCTGGCGCGTATGGCCGCGGGAACGGGGCCGCAGACGCCGGCGCTGGGCGCGGCGGCCCACGCCCTGCTGGCCGGCGGCCTGCCCCCGGACTGGGCCGCCCGCTCCTGGGACGGGCCGGGGCTGGCGCGGTGGGAGGCGGGCCTGGTCGCGCGGCACGAGCAGCTGGCGCGGTGGCTGGGCGCGGGGGCGCCGCCCCCCAGCCTGTGGCTGGGGGGCCTGGCCAACCCCGCGGGCCTCCTGTTGGCGGTGCGGCAGGAGGCCGCGCGGCGCCACGCCGCCGAGCGCTGGTCCCTGGACGACATGGGCCTGGCGATGGAGGTGACAAGGCTGGACCCCGGCGCCGTGCGCGAGGGGCCCCCTGAGGGCATCTACGTGCATGGCCTGGCGCTGGAGGGCGCGGGCTGGAGCCGGCGGCACGACTGCCTGGTGGAGGCGGAGGCCGGCCGGCCCCTCGCCGCCATGCCCGTGCTGCTCATCACCGCGGTGCCGGCCAGGGACAGGCCCCAGGGACGCGTGTACGAGGCCCCCTGCTTCCGCACGCCGGAGCGGGGCCAGGCGGGGCTTGTGGCCAGCCTGCCGCTGCGGACCAGTGTGGAGCCCGCGCACTGGGTGCTGCGGGGCGTGGCGCTCATCTGTGCGGCCGCGTCCTGAGCGCTGCTGCCGGGTGTCGCCAGACCTGGACATCCTCAGGCTGGGCAGCGTGTGGGCGGGCTGGAGTCCTTGGCAGCCAGGGGTATCAGGGCGGGAGCGCGGTCACCTTTGCCCGTCATGATCGTGTCAAGTGGTCCATGGCGCCATCCCCTCAGCATGACTGCACCATGGCATACCCCTCACTCCTGCCCAGTAACCTCGACTCTCGAGCCAGACATGAAAGACCTCATAACAAGATGCTGGGGCACGACACCGGCACAGGAGGGGGAAAACAGCCGGGCCTCGAAAAATGTGGCCTGTGGCCGTGACAAGGGGCGGCCAGGCAGGAAGGGCATGAGCTCCTGTCTTGCGGCGTGGGGCTCCAGTGCTGTGCAATCGTGGCTCAAGGGCTGAAGCTCTGGGTTTGGGGCATACTTGTGGCGGAAATATTGGCCAGGGATGGCTGCCGGATGTGAGGAGAGCGTCCCGCTCCTCTTCCTTTGGCTTCCGACGCTTTCATCGACCTCCCGGATCACAGCGGCACCACATGCTTGCTGATGATGGCGCTGTAGGTCCGCCGCTGGCTCTCAATCAGATCGGGGTGCTGTTGTGCGTTGAGGGGGATGGGGGTGAGGGGGATGGGGGTGGGATGGGAGGGTGGGAACGTATTCAGACAGACTCTCAACCCACACCAGCCATCACACACATTGTCAGCGGGTACCTTCCCGACACCACAAGTGGGCCCCTGTACGGGCATGCTGGCAAGCTCTTCCAGTCCCCCCTTCCGGCTGCCAATCTGGAACAGCCGCCCGACGCACCGCCAGCAAACCTCTGCCCCTCGGCCCGCACCTTCTCGGCCAGGTTGTAGTACTTGAGGTAGCCGTCCCAGGGCGCGACCGTGAGCCGCGCCCGCTTCGCGATCATGGCCTGCACGCGCTCGGCAAACTCCTGGGAGCTCTCCCCCGGCTGCTTGCTCTGCGGCTCCAGGAAGTAGACGTCGCAGACCAACGCCCAGGAACGCATGATCTTGAGCAGGTGAGCGGTGAAGGACTGGCGCTTGCTGTTCCAGAACGCGTCCACGAAGATCTTGTTGTACTTGATGGCGATGGGGCAGACCGTGGCGCCGAGGTCGAAGGCTCCCTTCCGGAACATGACGCAGTACTCGTTGTTCACGCAGGTGCCCTCCGGGAAGATGAGCAGGGGCATGGAGTTGGGGTCGGCCACGTGGTCGCGCATGCGCTGGTGCACCAGCGTCCGGTCCTTGGCCTGCGTGCGGTTGAAATACAGGCAGCCCAGGGAGTTGAGGTAGCGCTTCTGGAACAGGCCCACCCAGCCGGGGTGGAGCTGCATGATGGCGGCAAAGGGCGTGTAGGCGCACAGCACCGCGTAGTCGATCATGGAGGTGTGGTTGGCCACCCACACGCGGTTGGCCGTGGAGACGGGGCGGGGCCCGTGGTACCGGATCACGCCTGCGCGGGAAAGCGGGATTTTATGGGGGGAGTGAGGTTGTTGGAGGGTAGGAGACATGCCCAGAGTGGTGGTGGGGGGGTGACAGTGCGTGCTGGGACACGGATGGCCCCGAAAGGGCTGTCTGGTGATGGCCGGGTGGGCTCGATGCACAGAGGGCGATGAGGACGCTGCGTCGTGGAATCTACCCAATGTGGGATGACAGCGCGCACCGCTGCGTCAGCGTGTGCCGAGACAGCCATGAACTCTTCAAACACCCCATACACAGCCCCTCTGCTCAGTTTGCCAACCACAGAACATTCCCCCTCCCGCATGCCTGTCCAGGAGGTGACGAAGATCTGGGCCATGAACTGCACCACCCTGCGCTCGGCCAGGGTGCGGTGCTTTGCGGGCAGGGCCTCCGCAACCATGAAGGCCACGATGAAGACGAGGGCGCCCAGGAGGAGGGTGAGCAGGCGCAGGGGGAAGATGATTGCGTTGCGCAGGACGACGCCCAGGATCCAGAGGGGGAGCAGGTAGAAGTTCCAATTCCAGGGCTCGTCCACGGCGGAGGTGAAGCAGCGGAGGAAGGAGTCGTCCACGATGGCGCTGGCGGCATCGTTCAGGGGGCTGCTGATGTCCAGCACGTCAGACCTGTGGTGTTGTGTGGGGGGGTTTAAGGGTGGTGGGGGGGGGTTGTGTGCTGCAATGGTGGCCAGATGGCATGCAGCCTGGCCACCCCGCCATGTTCCAGGGGCCAGCATGCGGCAGATCCTGAGGGCCACACAGGGGTGTTTCGTGTAGGAGCCAGGGCATGGCCCTAGTCCCAGGCGGGCATGCAACAGTGCTTGAATCCTGTGAGATTGCCCCGTCCAACACACCAGGGAGGGCCTACTTACAGCAAGTTGGACCCTGCATAGTCAGGAAACTCGGACCTTGCCTGGTCGACCAATGCCTGGTAGGGGACAGGGGGGGCAAACGGATCCTGATCCAGCCCCCAGAGACACATCGCGGGCCAAGACGTGACCTCATTGCCATTGGCACACCTCGATTTGTCGCTGGACGTCGGGGCTAACGCCCTCCTTCAGTCCGCCGTCGAGGTGAGGGAGGTCTATCGAGCTCAAGTGGATATTCTTGAGGCTGCATTGCGGGCGCATCCTTCCGAGATGTGGTACAGGTGCTTGAGGGAAGTGGCTTGAAAGTGATTTCCTCCGACTCCTACCTGGTGAGGCCGACCGGGTTCGCGGACGTCCTGCGCATGAAGGAGGCCTTGGAGGCCATTGCTGCGACCACCCTTACTTCAAATTACGCAGAACAGCTTCCAGCAGCACCGAGTGCGATGACGCCGGGTTTGTGTCGTGGGGAAGGACTGGTTTTCGGGTTTCCGACTCGCTGCTGCATAGATTTTCGTGCTTTCGTAGCGCGCTCTGCTGGCGACAGACGTCGCCCCCCCACTGGATATATCGATCCAGCTTCCCTGCGGATTGATCGGGAGCATACCCGCTGACCTCGCAGTATTTGTCGTGAACTCGACGGTATCCCGCATCGGCCGTCGCCAGAGGGTACGAGCCGCCACTGCTGCCATGGGAACTCCCCAGGAACGAGAAGCCCAGAAGAGCTACTGGGCGGAGCACTCGAGCAACGCCACGGTGGAGTCGATGATGCTCGACAGCCAGGCTGCGGATATTGACAAACTGGAAAGGCCAGAGGTGTGTCGTGGGTCTCGTTGCCGTGACTGCTGACGTGGCTCTAGGGCAAGCTGTCACTCTGAGGGTCCACACCCCCGCGAGCAGGTGCTCAAGCTCCTGGGGTCTGTGGACGGCCTGGATGTTGTGGAACTGGGTGCTGGCATCGGGCGATTCACCCGCCCCTTGGCGGAGGAGGCACGCAGTGTGGTGGCACTGGACTTCATGCCCAACCTGATTGAGCAGAACAGGGTGGACAATGGTCACCTGGGCAACATCGACTTCCGGTGGGTTTTTACTGAGGAACAGGAGCTGTACGTCGTGGTGGTTGTGCTTCAAGGTCCCTGGGCAAGGCGATGAGGCCCCCGTTGCGGTACTGAAAAATCTCGTCTGTCAAGGACTCCAGCTCGTGAATGTGCAGCTGCCTGAGTTGCTGGACGACCCAGCCGCCACGCACTCCCATCCCCCGTGTACTTGGTCCCGACACCGTGCAGGTGCGGCGATGCCACCGAGCTGGACCTGCCCGCCGGCTGTGCCGACCTGGTGTTCTCCAACTGGCTGCTCATGTACCTTGCCGACGACGAGGTGGCCAAGCTGGCTCACAACATGCTCACCTGGGTCAAGGTCGGGGGCACGGTCTTCTTCCGCGAGTCCTGCTTCAGGCAGTCTGGCGACAAGGCGCGCGGCAGCAACCCCACCCACTACCGCAATCCCCGCGAGTACTTCAAAATCTTCGACGAGTGCGAGGTGGTGCAGCCAGACGGCCGCGTCGCGGTGTTCGACCTGGTGTGCTGCAAGAGCGTGGACACATACGTGCGTGTCAAGCAGAACCAGAACCAAGTCTGCTGGAAGTGGCGCAAGGTATGTGTGCTTGAGAGTGGAGGGGGTGGGGTGTCCGTGGCGGGTGGCCTCCGGCGCAAGCAAAGGGAGGGGGCCAGGTGTGAGACCTACAGCCACCCAGATTTTGCGCCCGTACCACCAGCGTGTGCTTGCTGCCACACCCCAGGACGGGGCCCCCCGCCTTGGCTTTCACGGCAGGGACACCCGCCCCTTGCATCTCAGTGGGCCAGATTACATTGAATTTCCATGCTCTTGGCATCCCACGGACAGCAGGCAATGTTCCTGCAGACCTGGGCACCAAGCCTGAGCTCCAGTCCATGGACCTTTTGTATGACAAACCCTCGGTACGCACACACAGATCATTAAGCCCGCGCCCACGGCCTTCCGCGTCGACCGGCACTTCCTGGACGGCCAGCGCTACACCGCGGGCAGCATCGCGCGCTACGAGTTTGTGTTTGGCCAGGGCTTCATCTCGCCCGGCGGCGAGCGGCTGACGCAGGAGCTAGCGGCGCGGCTGGGCCTCAACCCCGACGCACACGTGCTGGACGTGGGTTGCGGCGTCGGCGGCAGCGCCTTCCATTTGGCCCGCACCCTTGGCTGCTATGTGTACGGGATAGACTTGTCGGCCAACATGATCCTGACGGCCCTGGAACGGGCCGCCGCCTCGGGCAACGGCGACAAGGCGAGCCGGCGGCTGGGTGGGATGGAGGGTGGGGTTTGGGAAGGCTGGGCGGGACTGCGCACCTTGGACAACCTGCCTGCCCCCCCCCCGACTCTTGCCAGGCCTGCGCAGAGCGCAGCTGCATGAAGGCAGCAGATTGCGGCTGCTAGGGCCTGGGGCTCCCTCAGACAATCCCTGGGGTGCTGCAGCCTGCCAGTCGAGTCTCGGGTTTGCCTGCGGGCAAGGAGGCATCAGCAGCCCCCACGCAGCGGCCCTGCTCCCCGGCACCCCGTGCCACACGCTGCGGGCCTCACCCCCTCAGCCCCCCTTGCCCCACGCGTGCGCAGGTGTCCCTGGAGGTGAGCGACGCCACGAGACGCGCGCTGCCCGAGGCCTCCTTCGACGCGGTCTTCACACGTGACTCCCTGCTCCACATCCACGACAAGCCGGCGCTGTTCTCCCGCCTGCTGCGCGCACTGCGCCCCGGCGGCCAGCTCCTGGTCACGGACTACTGCCGCGGCGGCGGCCCGCCCTCCCCGGGCTTCTCCGCCTACATCGACGACCGGGGGTACGACCTGGTGGCGGTGGCCGAGTACGCGGCCCTGCTCTCCGCCGCGGGGTTTGAGGTGCTGTCTGCGCGGGACGAAACGCCGCGATTCGTCGCCACGCTGGGCGCCGAGCTGGAGCGCCTGCGGGAGCGCCGCGACGAGTTTGTGGCGCGCTTCTCGGAGCGGGAGCACGCCGACATGGTGGCCGGGTGGGAGGCCAAGCTTGAGCGCGCCCACGCAGGCGAGCACTGCTGGGGCGTCTTCCACGCACGGCGGCCATGACGCGCCCTCGGCCCTCCTGCACTGACCCTGTGTGTGTGAAGGGGGGGTGTTCCCTGGCAGACTGCGTATGGGGACCTGGGGTTGGGCCAGCGCCCGATCTTCACACAGGGTGGGGGACGGGAAGGGAGGGGGCTTGCCTGCCAAGGCCCATGTGTCACATACAAGGCAGGCAAGGACAGCTGACAGGAGAAACATGGAGAGGATGCAGGGGGGTTTCTGAAGAACGGAGTGTCGGGAGACGATGTCCTGCATGCCACTGAGGTGTCAGACCATGCGCAGGGTTGTGCTCGCTCCTGCGAGCACTCGCCTAATCCAAAACATGAAGTTCTGAGGACATAAGTGACAAGCAAGGGCATCCATCCATGGTTATAGAAGAAAACCCTGGCGCACAGGCTTCCGACCCAAGGCCATTCCTCTCCTGGGTTACACCAGAGCCTTTGTTCTCGGTGAAGGCGGTAGCGTGAGCCCGCGCCTCGCCCAGGATCACATCAGGGACTCGGGACATGCTGATGCCTGCAACATGGACAGTCCTGTGTGAAAGAATCAGCCTCACCAGCAGGGAGACTGGACAATCAGGGTTGATGTTCTGCTCGATGAGGCAACGCTCCTTCTTTGGAAGGCTCGTTCTAACATCTCCCAATGCCCCTGTAGGCCGGTATCTCTGCCTGTCACCACTGGCAGACCTGCACATCTAGGTGTTGTTCAGTAGATGTCTGATGTCCAGCTGTGAAGACAGTCAGGCACAAAGGTATGCATGGATGACAGTCAGCTTTGTCCCAGACATCAACTAGGCTGGTGCAAGAAAAGAGATGCCACCCATTGCGCTGAATGCCCTCAGCAGTATGGCGAGGAGGTAGCAAAGTGATGGGCCTGAAGGCATGAAAGTATTCATCCCTCTTTCTAAGACGGAGATCTTCCGTTTTGCAGTCTTGTGTGTTTGGTCATGTCTGACGTGATAGCGAGTAGAGCTCCTCACACCCAGCTGGATACTGGTAAATGCCACCGCCCTGCAGAATCAACGCAATGGGTTTCGGATCAAAGTCAGCAACGATCTGCCTACATTATAGGGGGTGGAGTCAAAATTTCCGCGAATGCCGAAGAGTGAAAAAGCCTCCGGAGAAATACATCGGCCCCCGGTGGGGTAGTATATGTCCCCTCGCTCGTTCCCCGGAAAATGGCTCTTCCCCCTTGTCCCATACGAGCAGCTGGGGCCGGTAGCACCGGCGCCCACGATATGATTGCTGTTGGCTTCCATCTTGTCGGCTGCGTGGCTGCGGGCCCAGTTGCCGGAGCGTCCCATCGTCACCTTTGAGATGACGAGCCGCATCCTCTTCCAAGCATCCGCACTGCATGTCAGGGTACGTTGGATATTGTATTCTAAGTGTCTCTTTCCTCGAAGACCTGTTGGGAACACGAGAATGACCTGTAACAGAGTTCGTACGTCGAAGACCACTCTTTCCCCCTTAATCCCCTCCTCCAGGCATCCTGCACGTCGGCCTTCTACGCGCTCCCGAGTGCAAAGTGAGAGCCGAATGCTTTGATTCGGCTGGTTTTGCGTGTTCATGCCTCTGGCAACCATCCCACCAGGACTCGGTCCAGCTTTTACCTCCGAATCCACACCAAGTCTTTGCCGTCATAGCCTCATCTCAAAGATTATGCACCCCGCAGATCCGGAAGCACCGTACTACTCCTTACGGATGACAGCACCACGCTATACTACAGGTACGTTTCTGAGTCTACCTGTTTGGCTCACAGTGGTGATGCCCTTCCTCTCCCATCTCACCAGGTCCCTCTCACTCCTTCCATTCTGCCCTCCCCATCCCCTTCCCCTGGTGTACCGCTCAGGTAGCAAGGCTACGCCAGCGCTGGCTCGGTTCGGACTGGTCTGTTGGGCTCAACCAACTTGCCCGTGGCTACAGTAAGTCTCAAGTCGCTGCAAAGGTGCTCTGGTAAATCCTGCCAGACGCTCCTGGCCGTGGAATGTCTGCGGCGAGGCGAGGCCGCCTGCAGAGCGGATGCACTGGGGAACATAGGGTCTGGGAACGTTGGCTGGCACAACTTTGGACGGAATAATGCTGGGTCCCACAACATAGGTGAGTAAGGCTTGTGTGAGACCTATGGGAACGGGACACTTTGTGGGGTGCCTAATGGCAGCGCCCAGTGCACAGGCATTGGACATGCCAATAGGGTGGTCCTGGAAAGGGCTCTTGGGCCGCTTGCCGAATGGCAAGGGCTGAGCTTGGGCATGCATGCGGGCCTTGGGATGGCAGTAGACCCTGAGTCATACCTTGCTTTGATGGCTGGCCGCTTTAAGCTTCATACCCTCCTCCTCACCCCTTGTAGGCAACAACAATGCTGGGAACAAGAACATCGGGAGCCGGAATGTTTTGGGGTTTCCCCTTGACCTGGCCCTTTCGCCACTTTCCACCTGTTCCCGCTCTGCGCCGAGTCCACGCCGCCTTGCGACGCCTATGACCCCCAACCATCACACTGCATTCTGGGTCTCGTCTTTAACAATCCTAATTCAGGTCACATACAGCGGTCCACTGTTGTGGGGGCCAGCCCGCCCCCACAACAATTTGGTTTCGGAAAACAGGTTTGACCTAGTCACCCGGGGCTCCGAGCCCTCGCCACAAGGTTGTGGACACATGCGACCGCAACTGTTCCGCCAACGCTGCTATGCCTGACAGCAGGGACCCGGCGCCCGCCCCCGCGCCTGCGGCACACCAGCCATCAGCCTCGGTTGTTGCGGGGCAGGCTACATGCCTCCGCAGCGGGAACAGATGTCATACTACCTGAAATAGGGTTCTTACAACTGTCCCCGGTCTCCTCTGGGGGACAGGTGATACAGGTTGAGGTGCCTCGTGGTTGACGAGGCACGGAGACGTGGGGATGGAAAGAGGGAACCGGCCGTGAAAGGAGTACCCCGCAACACTCCCTGTTTTCAATGGGCCGCCAGGCGGCCCAGGGCAAGACGGTGGAGGCGTGGCGCTGACAGCGATGCTACGGCAGGGACGTACACGGCTTGAACAGCCTCAGCCGAGCGCTCGGGCCGAGGGCTCGCTGGCAACGGCGGCGCTGATACGCGGCAGTACGTCCAGCCAGGCGGCCATGCGGGTTGTGTCGTACGGTTTGCCCCAGTGCGAGGTAACGATGGCAGCAAAGTCAGCCGAGGGGTCGAGGTACACCAGCTGGCCGCCGGCGCCCAGGAGCAGCGTGATTGGGGGGGCGGACTGCAGGCTCCAGCTCTGGTTGCGGTACATGCCGCCTGGCAGCGGCAGGTCTAACATGGTGCCGGGAAAGGCCGCGCGGGTGTCCGCGTCGCCGTGAAACATATCGTCAATGTACGCCCTGGGAAGGATGGCGGGGCCGCCGTCGTGCGCCGTGCCGCCGCGCAAGATCATGCGCGCCAACAGCGCGGTGTCTCGCAGGGTCATCGCGAGGCCACCACCAAACAGGGCATGGTTATGGCCGTCTACCATCACGCTGGCGTCGTGCGCAGCCCCCAGGGGCTGCCAGAGCAGCGTCGACCAGAGCGTGGCCATGCTGGTGGCGGTCACGTGCTCGCACAGCTGTCCCAAGATCTCGGAGTCGCCGGTCCGGTACTCGAAGGGCCAGGGACCAGGCCCCTCGCAGCCCTCGGCGCGCTTGAGGCTGTGCGACCAGGCATGCAGCCCGTCGTGGCGGGTCTGCCACGGCAATGCAGCGATGAGGTGCATGGACTGCAGCGCGCCAATCGCGCTGGAGTTGACGCCTGAGCGCATGTCCAGCAGCTGACGGACGGTCACCCCTTCATACCCGGAGCCGCATACCTGCGGCATCCAGGTCTCCAAGGGTGAGGTGAGGTCCAGCATCCCCCGGTCCACCAGGATGCCGGCGGTCATGCCGGTGAGGCTGCGGGTGATGGACGCAAGACTATGGCGCGTCGACGGCCGGGTGCCTGACAGGTAGCTCTCGTGCACCAGGGCCCCTTGGTGCACCAGGGCGAAGCCATCGACCTGCTGCTGGGCGAGGAACGTCTCGAGGCTGGCATCCTGCGGCCAGGCGACATGCGAGAGGTCGGCGGGCGCCGTGGCCCAGGTGTGCGCCTGCGGGCCCCGCGCGACGGTCTGCAGGGCGCAGAACTGATTGACGGTATCGTGTGTGTAGTGCCAGGTCGGGAAGAACATCAAGTTCTTCAAGTTGCCCAGTCCGTTTCGCCATCGAAAATCTCTGGGGCAGCGTCCGACGATCGGCGCCACGGCCTCAGAGGCGAACGTATCGCCAGCGCGACACCGAACCTGAGCTGTGGAGCTCAGGCCGCTTCTGGAACGGATGGCAGGGGAGGAGGGGGGAGCAGCAGCGGCTCGGAGACTCGTCATGGCACGGCTCTTTTTTGTCTAAGGCGCACTGTTTAGGCACTGTTTAGGGTCCGTCGGACAGCGTGTCGATGTTTGTGTTCTGTTTCACCTGCGGACCCATGTGCCGCTGACTTCCTCGCCGTCCACTCCGCCCTTAATAAGATGCGCCACGGCGGGTCAAGGTCCGCGCCATGCAAAGGGCGTGGCCTGGCTGTCTTGCAACCAAGCGGTGGGTCCTCGGGGCCGTGGCGCTGGCCATCGGCGTCCCTGCGGCCAAGGGCGCCCAGGCGCAGGTGCCCTTTGGCCCCGTCGGCGGTGACGTGACCACTTACTACGACGGCATTGTGTACCGCGTGCAGCTGCGTTACACAGGCCTCAGTGACGTGCATACCAATGTTGCCGAGCTGCGTGACTACCTCGGCGTGCTCGCGGTGGACTGCGACGCCGGCCCCGCCTTCGACGCCACCACCCTCGCGGCCTGTGGCGCTGAGTCACCGTACAAATGCACCAGCCAGGCCTGCCCGGGGGCGCGGGGGGTGGAGGTCGCGCTGGTGAACAACCTGGGCAGCCAGCGGGTCTTGTTCAACCTGCCCGGCGGTGGCCCGCAGGCGGCATGGCTGATCTTGACCCTCACCGTGCGCATGCATCCGAGCGCCACCAGATGCGGGGCCCCCACGGTATGCGCCCTTGACGTCGGCAATGGCGACGTGTTGGGCAGCCCGCAGACCTCGGGCGGCGGCGAGAACACCGCCTGCCAGAGCGCCGCCCGGCCCGTGTTGACCGCGGTGTGGATCGGCCCCACGCCCCCCGTCCAGGGGCACAACGTTGCTGGGGTGGGCCTCACCTGGCAGCTCCAGGCGCAGCTCTCCAACGGCTCCATGGTACCCTACAGGCAAGACCTCGCCAATCCGGTTGCGTTCGCAAGCAACGTCGCCTGCGCCCAGGCCGCCGCTGCGGCCGGCCTGTGGGATGGCGCCTTTGCCGCCTTCGCCAGCGTCACGGCCGTGGGTGGCTTTCTCGCCCAGCTGCAGGTGGCACCGGTCGGCTTGCCCGACCCGCCCTCCGGCGACGTGGCGGTGACGCTGGGCACGCCGCCCCTGGCGACACCTGTGCGCCTCGGCATCGAGGTCGTGCGGGCGGTCACGCGCCTCAGCGTGGCGCTGAGCCTACCGGGGCAGGCGGCGGTCGCCAGGGTGCTGGTGGCCGCCGCCGTCGATGGCGCCACCAACGCCAGCGGCGGCGAGGAGCCGAGCCGCGCTACCTTCGTGGTCGTCGCCGCCGCGGCGCCGGCCCGCCTGGCCGAGGCCCAGGCCTTGCTGCAGCCGAGCGGCCCGGGAAGCGCGGCGTCGAGCGCGCCGAGCCCGCAGGTGGCCGACCTCACGCTCACCGTGCGCGCGCGCCACACCCACCCCGATGGCAGCGCCACCCCTGGTCGACACGCCGTGGACCGTGCGCGCCGACAGCACGCCGCC